ACATGTATCTCTACATTTAAAACATATTTAAGTGGTTTGTTCAGGTGTAATATGTGTGCTTTATGGTGGTTTATCGTTGTTCACCTTTTTTGATATTATAAATATTTTGTTTCAAATGTAGTAGTAAGAGCTTAGTGTCCACGGCTTGTTATTTTTGTGTATTGAACACATGGAAAAGTCTCAAAATATTTGTGTCCACGGCGGTCAATATTGACATGTGTTTAGTGTAATAAATATATGGAAAAGTCTCAACATTGTTTGTTTTCTGCGAAATAGAAAAAGCACGTTGAAGTGAATATTTTGTCTTTCATTCAATAAAGAAGATACATGAAAAGATATCCAATTTTTTTGCCTTTGATAATATCAAATATGTCATTCATTAGAAGTCTTAATTTTTCAAAAGTCAGCAAAAGGTGTGAATTTAATATAAGAGCTTTCTACTCAATCCTCAAAATATTTGTTGTGTTTTCTGTGCATGATTTATAACCTGGGTCCTAGGTAATAAAAGAATTTAATGAGCATAAACTCAGATCTCAGGCATTTGATTGGTCAGAAAAAAACACAGAATGTAAATTGACCAATGGAAATCCTGAGTTTCCAGATAGAACTAAAAAAACTCAAGATTATAAAACATTTTTATAAGTTCAGTCTCAAATCTCGTGATTTTCATTGGTCAGTGTACATCCTGAGCTGATTTCTGATCAATCAAATACCGGAGATCTGAGTTTGAGCTTAGACAATTTCTTTATAACCTCGGACTCTGGTTGACACAAGTGTTGAACTTGTTGATAGTAGAAAATATTCAAACAAATAAATCATATTGAATGTATATTAAATGTGAACAATAGTTGAAGAATTTTAGTCAGAAGGAAAAAAAACGGGAAAAAAAAAAAAACGAAAAAAAAACTAACAAACAAAAAAAGACAAAAAGATCTTTTGTACATGTATAGCAGCGCAATAAACTGCAAGATCTTTTTATTAATATATACATGTAGTCCTTATGCGTTGTATATTGTGGTTCTAATGGATGTTGATAATGTGTCTGTACCATACACTACAATTACAAATATCATTATAAATATTGTAACTGTCGGTAGCTTTTTCAAGAAAATAAATATTCTTTTTTATATTTAAACATACAAAAAAAGAGTATCAGACTGATGGTTACAAATGGTTCGCTACATCTTCACAATATTTTTTTCTAGGTAGTGTACGTTTTAAGATTTTAAAATGCGTCATTTGTTACTTATGTGTTTATATTTTCGTAAACTGTCTAAATAAACAAAATAATTATACATGATGCATGTTGTTGTTTGTAGGCACTGGCTTATACATATTTTTGGTTTGGACTACTGTTTTTGTACGTTGGTATCCTTAGATAGACAACTAAAACTTGAACATCAGCCAACAGTAAATACTTTCAATTGCATATGGTAAATTGCTGATACAGTAGCCAATAAACAAAAATATTTGTTTTATGATTCTTTACCTTAAACGCGTGATAAAATAAGACTAAATAAAAAAGCAAAGCGTTTGAATTAATTACAACATTCTAATAATATACAAATCGTTCAAAGTTATTACAATATTATGTAAATTAATAAACAAATATTCCATATATAATTAATAACAAAACTTTTATAATAAGCAAGTCGTTCAAAGTTATTACAATAATATATTAATTAGTTAACAAATCTTCCACATTACTAACAACACGAATAATAAGCAAATCGCACAAAGTTATTACCATGCATATTCTCTTCGTAAGCATTTTCCAAATAAAGCAAATCATTCAATGAATTACATTACACATATCGTCCACATATATTATGAGGAGTGTTCAAATATGAATGCATCTATATAGATGCTTATTGAATGAGTGCAGATTAATTAATTCTAAATTTATTGAACGAGTTGAACAAAATAATATTATGCAAGCCTTGTATTGTATCCACACGACTAATATAACATTCTATTTAATTATCACACATTAAAAATATGGACGGTAAACCGTGCATTATTATAATGTCGGCTTAAACAACAACGTCTGTCAAGATGGTTGGTAAAGTGAAAGTTAATGCCGATGCAAGATGCACCACTAGGCAAATAGCTACTATATAGTACCGTTGGCATTTCATTAGGAGCAGCTTCTCAACCGTGATTTGAAAATGAGATAGATCTGTGCTAGATAGATTCCCTATTTGCTGACAGGTGAGCAGAAAAGGCTTGCGTGCAATGCGCTTAGTTGTTCCAAATTACAATGCATGGTCTTTTGCAAATGTCGTTACTGGTGATGGAACTTGGGTTTGTTTTTATGAGCCAAAACACCAACACAAGATTTAGGCTACATAGTCTGGCTAAAGAAAATGCATTACAAAAAGGAGAAGGTCATATATGCCATTTTCTTTACAACTCGGGGTCCCGCCATTGAGGTTGCTGATCCTAAAGACTAATCTGTTCATGCGAAATCTTTTTGGCATTTTTTTTTTTTTTTTTGAAAACAAAACAAATACTTTCGAAAACGAAGATCCTCAACAGTTTTGGCCAAAGTCAGAGTGCTGCATTACAACGCGTCATCGCGTCAAGGCATCTATGGTGCAAAACTTTCTGAAGCAGAAAAAGTTATTATGTTCCCTCACCACCTGACCTTGACATTTGTGACTTCTTTTTGTTTCCCAGGCTAAAAATACCTTTGAGGTGATATCACGTTAAAAATTTGTTCCAATGACTTCATACTATACCAAAAAGGAAAATGCCTTCAAAGATTGGATCCGGAGACTGAAACTTTAAAAAATCAGTGAAAACTATAAACTTAGAATAATAAAATTTTACGTTCATATTGGAACACTCCTCTTAAATACGCTGATAATAATTCCAACACACGTTTCACACATTTCCTCTACCAAAATTACTTCTAAGCTTATGTAGTTCAACATATATTTTTATCAATTCGCTACTTTATTATCATGTCATAATAGAAAAAGATAATAAATTTTCATGCATATCGTTCAAATGCTTTGTAATTAATCACTCGTGCCGATAGGCCTGATCAATGTATAATTTGAACTCGAACTGTGTATTGTTGTACAACAAAGCACTCAAAACAACATTCCAATAAAAAGATTTCTTAATAATCAGACAAGTCAAAGCAAATAAATATTTGCAAAACGCAATCACACCAATTTACAGGTTTGTTAATAAAAGATACGCAGGACATGCTTTGTTGTGACGCTTTTATGGCGCAAAGTTTAATTTATACTCTCACATATTTATAAGAATCGTCAAACGAAATCACGATCTTAAAAACATAAACTGAAAACGAATCATTGAAGACTACAGTAAACTGGTGATGTTCACTTTTTTCTGATGAAAGAATCACGGCTTCCACGTAAATTAGTAGTCAGCAACCTATAAGGCGATACAATAAACACGGAGAAATTACGTTGCAAATAATAAAACTAAGGGAGGTAACAAGAGCCAAATGTTTGTACTGTCTTGATAAGTTGACATATTTTACACGTTATCAAATCGCTGAGCAATATTACTTCAGAAAAAAAAACATTTCAATTCTTCAGTGCAACATTATAATAAATTATAATCTAACAACATTAATTGCTTTATTGACAAGTTATATATAAATCTATGTATGCGTATATTTGCATCGGATGTAATAGAGAGTATAGAGACTGTACGTTGTTAATGGGAAAAAAAACATGATTAAGTTCTACTTTTTTATTTTCATCACGTTATATGTATGTAATATTGAGTGCGTTTTACTGTACTTCTAAAAATTATGTATTATATCAAGATAAATGGTATGTCTCCGATAAAAATTGTTTATAAAGAATTATACAATCTGGGATATACGATAATCGTATGTCCCAGATACAACTAATGAATGATTTGACATTGTTGTTTCCAAAACAAACATTTCTTACCTATATATTACTGAAAATTAAAAAGTATAGGCTAATATATATGATATCACATACGAATAGAATTACAAAACTAATGTTTACAGTAGAAAACATTCCACCAATTCACGAAGATCTATATAAATATCTGAAAAAGATTATAGATCTGTGAGATGTGTTTATATAATGGTTTTAAATGGTGTGTGTCCACAAAATTTTCAAGACTGGTCACATGACTTTGAAAGTAATATTATACAGTTCAAATTTTGATTTTTCCAAAAGCTGAAATGCCGACGTCATGTATTTAGGAATTATATAATGGCTATATAGTGGCTATATACCCATATGAGGTATGCATACCGAGAATATTTCTGGTTAGCACCAACGTTCTGTACAATAATCTAATAGTCTTTTCTATGTAATCAAATTATTTAACGATTTATAATCACTTGCCAGTGACAAAAAGAATAATAAAAAGTATGTTTACATGCAGCTATAAAAACAAATCTAGTTTCTAATTTTTTATACTAGTTTTTTTTTTTTTAATCACCGTTTCTCATGAGTGGTATAAAAGTAGCACTTTATAAAGAACTGTTAAAAACACATTAAATCATTGCTTTAATTGGCTAGCTTATGTTTGCCTTACATTAGAGCTATATATAATTGTTCTTATAAGTTTGATTGTCCACGTGTACATATTCTCACAACTGGTGTTCTTAGTCTTTAAAAGTTCAAGAAAGTACACCGTCATCGGCCTAAACAATTCAAGCATTCATGCAAGTTTTGTGAACTTTGTTTTTTATATCAAATATAGTCAAACTAGATGTAATTGAGAAAAAAAATAGTATATGGCTTATATAGTAACTTTATCGTGATACATACAAAATTTCATGAAAATTAGAAATTTTGACGTTTTGACGTTCAACTTTGACCTATTATCATAATGACGTCATTACGTAATTAATGACGCCAATTCTTCGAAATCGTTTATAACAAAAATCTGAAAACAGGTCAATTGTTTAAACTCCCTGATCTCATTCGTGTAAACCCCGTTCATTTGATCAGCTCGCTCGTTAAATGTATGCGTGCAAAGCTGACGTCACTACAGACTACAAGTCACGTGATCGGAGGTCGCCATATTAGAGGTTCCCATTTTCATTGTGCGGCGAGAAGTATAAAACACTAAATCGACCAATTTACATCAATACACACGTTTTTACAATATAAACAAAATATGAAATTAAAGGTATAAATTTTTGCGTTCTATTGAATTAAGTTTAAATGTGTGGCGTCCTAATGAACCTTGACTGACACGAAATTATTTGTGGATTTATGGACTTGGCGACCGGGAAGTGCATGGCACGGCCGAGTTGGACTCCGAGCCGACCGGGGGGTTCGGGCTTGAAAATCATTTTTTTGCACATTTCTATGAATGTACTAAGTAACACTTCTTTATTATACCATTTTTAATTATATTTAACCCCTTTAAGTACTTTACTTTCGTTTTTGAAGAAAATAAATGTTGAATTTGGCGGGTATAGTTTTCATTGGAAACATGACAGTATTGAAAAAGTGGGTGGGGTAAAGTGTAATTTCTCATTTTTTATAAACAATTCGAGTAATTACTGTTTTATCAGTGCTTGAAGGCAATAAGTCGGCTTCAAAATTATTAAGAACTGTATAGACCTTTTTAAATTCTTGTTTAAGGGGAATAACAAATATTTTCTCACATAAAATGATAAAAGAAAAGATTGTTTATTAAAAAAGATGTCTCCAGTGTTTTGAACCCCAGACTCTAACTAGGTAGAAAAAAAACAGTTTGTACAGTTTTTTTTTTGTAATTACCAGGCTTCTATTTGATCAACTTGAATTTAGAATTTCATTCTAAAGGAAGAGTTGGATTTATTGTATGGCATACAGTAAATGGCGAGCCTTGAAGACTCACTAAAGTCACTGACATTTTTGGGCTTAGCATGTCATGGATTTTATTACCTAATAGCCTGATTAGTGCATGATGCACAGTGTCTATTCTAGTTGGGGGGATGGGGGGGATTCAATCCTATTTTTGAGAATCCCCCCCAATTTTTTCAGAAGCAGGGGGCGGGGGATTTTACATAGAGAAAGAAGGGGGAACAAATCAACAAATGTATAAATTTCCACATTTCAATAAAAAATTCCCCCCTTTTTTTCAAATCCTAGAATAGACACTGAATGTATAGAGATACTCGAGATGTCAGCAGTTTAAGGTTTTCCATCTAATTCTGAAGTATAAACAAACATTTACAAGTTACAACTTACATCAAATTGGTAATGAGGGCAATGCATTGATCACTGTTGTGAACATTATTCACAGTATATAAACGATTTGAACCCCAACCGGATCTTGTGAGAAGATCTCAGCATCTAAACATACAATCAGGCGTAATGACACATTAAACTATTAAAAATCGGCTTGAATTTAATATGTTATGGTATGTTAACATTTGAATCATATTAAGAAATAATTTATCTTTGCTTAAATATACATCCATAACCTTCTTCGTAAAATATATGCGCATAAAACGCTGTGCTCTTCGCCTCATGTTTTGTTTATGCCAACACACGCCGATTACACAAGCAAATGTATGCCTAAAATTGTTTTACTTCACTATAACTCATACCTGAATCTTTAATTTATTGTCTTAACCTCATGTTACCGGACAGACACTTGTGAAGATATCTTTGAATATTGATAAAACATAGTAAATAATAGAGGCCACATTTCTGAAAACTGTACCCGTCTTGCTAAAACAATTTTAATGATCTGTACCCTACTTGCGTTTTCACTGAACCATTACTTGCGAGTCACTTTTGATGATTTTTATTGTGTTTTTGTCGTATGTTCCAAATTTTATTGTGCAGAATAAGAAGTTATTGTGTCACAAGAGAAGGGTACATGTTTTACATGTAAGTAACTAAAACTGCACATGAATGGAGGAGCTTCGTCATGTTTTCACTGTCTACGAAAGTGGCTGTTTATACGAAAGTCAATTATTTCTTGATAGGAATAATTAACTAACAAACCTCATCTTCACTTACCATTCATTTTTCTTTGGAAAGATATAAAGCTTAAATATTACATATGCACTATAATTTTTTTATATTTAGTTCAACGGCATTGTTGTTAGTTTTGACGTGACCGTTATATTATTAATTATAAAGATCGTTGACAGGTTATATGGCCCTATATAAACGGCTATTTGTAAATATAACCCGAGCCATTTTGCGAGGGTTATATTGCAAATAGCCGTTTATATACGGCCATATAACCTGTCAACAATCTTTATAACGAATTTATAATACAGCAAGCATCATTTTTAGAGAAAAAAAGTAAGATTTCTTCATGAATCGACAGCAGCCGTGTATATAAAACTATATAAACATCGCGATTATCCAATGAAAAATGACGTTACAAACATGCAGTATTATAAAACGTCACGTATCAATAAACCTCGAAATATCATTACAAGATTTTTTTGCAGATTACTTATTTCAACATGTTGAAAGCTTTACACCTACCATTGATTTCATTCTGCTTATTTAAACACTGTTTTATATTCTCAGAAATTCATTGACTTTCCTTTTCTGACATGTACGACTTTTATTCTTGTATATCTTTCATAGGCGTCGACAATTTTGGCATCTTTTTAAACGGAGAATATTCGGAAAATTTTGAAATTTTAATTGTCACTGTTTCAGCAATTGGTGTTATAAACTTCTTTTTTTCGTTTACGTTATTGGCTGTGACGCTGAAATTTTTTAAGAGTAGGAAATTTTATTCTGATCATTATTTATTCTTATTTTCAAGTTGCAGTCTGGATGGCGAATAATTATGTGGTCAATGATGGCATTGGAATTCGTAGTCTTTACTGAACAGTATATACAGTTGTATTCTTCCATGGTGATCCGAAAGAAAAATATACATAGCATTATATATTTTATTAAACAAATGATTAACAATATTATCAGTTAAACCAATTCTCGGTAAATACCTTAGATCCCACCTTATATACTAAAATTTTATTACAATAATTTATATTTTATGGCAATAATTGATACAAAATCGCAATGAACGTAAACTTTTCTCCAATAAATCTTTAAAAATACTCACAAGTCAGGGTGCAGATAAAATTCGTAAACTCACAAGTAGGGTTCACAATCACCAGCAAGTAACGTTCAGTTTACGGAAATGACCTCCTTGGTAAAACTCTTAAATTTATGTTCAAGATACAGCAATATGTTATGCATATGACTAAATTATCGTTTGTTATTTATTACTTCAGTAGTTCGATATCACAATTCAATGTTTAACTAAATCAACATTGGAATAAGACGGATTTTTGTTCGTGTTCAGTGTTGATCACCTGAAAGTTGTTCGTGAGTTTCGATTATTATAAAGCCTTCGTGCTAACGTTTATGTTTTGCATAACTTAGACGTTTAATAAAGTTTCTCTCTTATAATATAAATATAGATTTACTAACCTAACGTCCATCAGTATCAATATATATACCAATATCGTAAACAAGTGAAGTAGCAGAATATGGCTGACACTAAAATCTTCTCACAAGATCCGGTTGGGGTTCAAATCGTTTATATACTGTGTTATTGCACAGTGAAGCTGTTTCAGTAAAAGTTTGTAAACCTGTGCCTCATACTTCTGTGGTACTTGACTGTTCAACACAGACAACAAACGTTAGAAGAATAAAATTCAGGAAAATATGTTGAATATTGTAGCAAAGACATGTCAATTACATCATGTAACGTTATTCCATTTAATGTTTGCATGTAAGCAATTATGTATTGTAAACAACATGGCAATTAACACCTATCTGCTTCCTAGTGAGTAAAGTTGTAGTCTCATATTTCCAAGGCAATTATGTTTTAATAGTTGCAAAGGCAAAACCAATAGTAATCTTTATTTTTTAGTACATCTATACCTAGCCCTGTGTGAAAGTGGAGTTTTTCTTTACGGCATTTATCAAATATCTCAATGGTTGTTTAACGAAGACAATTGTCTTAAAAGGTATGAAAACTAAAAGTGTAAAGGTGAAATAATTTACTTTGCTCTTAATCTGAAAAACTGTTAAAAAGTTCAAGTATATGTAGCATTTCGATAAAAATACAGTAAAATTAGTAAATCTACTGATAGGTGCATGATGTCTAGGAGGCACTTTTGACTGTTTATGGCTTGTACTTTGGAATTATGGGTACCACGGATTATGAGGCACCATTATATAATGATAGCACAGAGTTGCACAAAATAACTTATTTATATTATTGTTAGAAATATCCTGAAATAATTGTGTTAATGAAATTTTTATTGAATTAAGTATTGTGGATAGGGAGTTCAGATTTCACTATTATGTATTAATAGTATTGTAAATATATGTTGTCCTTATGGCAGGTTGTCCTTTTGGAATAAACCTTAAATTTTTATGTTGTTCTGTCTAAAAGAATGGGAAAAACCACACCTTTTTAAGCTTGTCTGTTGTGAAGAATTAATCAAGCTACTTTGTTTGCTGCAGCATCATCGTTGCTGTCAAAGTGCAAAATCTTTTATGTAGCCCGTCACTCAAATATTTTAAAAGTTATCTATGTGAAATTCGGAATACTTGCTTATCATGACTAGGTCCAGTTGTTAAACAAGTGGCATATTTCTGAAGCAATATTTTTGGCGTTTCACCCCTTTCTAATATGGAATTTTGAACAGACTTGGGTTACCACAGCATGTGGTGCTATTGTTTAGTGTTTAGACTTTAATATCCCAAGAATCACCCATTTTTTGTTTGTTTTGCAGAATGAGATAGCTATGTGAAGTCCAATTTTGCCAATACACTGTTATGATCTGTAAGTGAGGCATGGCAGAAGTAACCACAGACCAAACAGAAATGTTGAAGGAAAATACAGACAGTGCCATCCCTGGAAAACTAGTAACAAAACGGGTTTGTTTGTGATTTTGTGGTTGATGAAAAACATTATAAGTCTGCCACAACTGTTGTTAACAAATGTTGGTGGTCTTACCAGAGTTTCTGCCAAATGCATGAAATGTGGAGATCTTTAATGTATTCCTCCTCCAGTAAAGCTAGAATGTCTCCATGTCAGATAAATAAGTTTATATAAAAAACAAATACATCGGTATTGTTGTGCTCATGTAGGTTGGCCAGTTGACTGATTTTCATATTATGACTGTAGAGCATTGGATCGCTGGTTCAATTCTCGGGCTAGGCATAACATCGGTCACATTGAGTCTAATACATATAATTTTTGGTTACTTGTCTTTTTCTGCTGATAAGGAAATCATTTAGGGATTAGTAGTCTGTCACTTGCAGTGAAATCATAATTAATAGTCAGTTACATGTACCCAGGAAAGTCAGTGGTTCTAATGCAAGATATGTTTAAATTGGCTTAAAAAAACAACAGAAAAGCAAAAGATTGATATATTTGCAGTACATTATTAATGTTATTCCCCCACTTACAAAGTGGGGAGTAAACTGTGATTGGGTGATCTATTTGTATGTCTCTGTGGAGGATAAAGCCCATTACCTCAAAATGTTGGATTGTTCATCTGTCCACACATACATCCTATTTAGTATTACCCTTGTCTTATCAATAACTTCAGAAGGAATAATCTCAAAATTGTTAATCTTAGTTGGGACATTGCACATGGCCAGAAGTTGAGATAAAATCAGTAAAATCAGGTTGCCAATTCCAAGGTCAAGATCGTATCTAGAAGTCAAATGTTCTGGTCTATAACTTTCAGATTTGTGTATAGCAATAACTTGGCACATATAATCGAGTTGACATGATGTGCAGAGCACAACAACCAAGTTGCTACCCTTGATATCAAGGTCACAAAGGTCAAATTTCTTGTCTGCTCCATAACAAATTGACTATTGGTATTACATATTTAAAAATATTTAGTAACAGGCTGAGCGAAAGTTAGTTTATCCTCGGTCCTGGCTGAATAAAAATCATGCGGTCCAAGATAGATTTCCTTTCTGTCAGTCCTCGTGTCCTGATTAGATTTCAAGTTAAAAATTTCAATGACGTATGTGATAATTAGTTCTCAATTATGCAGAGAAATTTGTTAAAGAAAATATTGACCAACCATAGATTTAAAAATTTAAAATTTTGTTTTACGATGCCTGTTGAAAAAGCCAATGAATAACAATCTTAAAATAATAAAAAAATGTTTTATCTAATATAATTATAATCAACAACATTTAAAATTGTGAATGTTTCTGCAGAATTTTTTTTTTTTATTTCTCACATATTTTCACGATGCCGCTTTTTGTCCCCCGCCTTTTTTAAAGAAAAAAGGGGGATATAGAAATAGGCTCTGTCCGTCCGATCCGTTCCGTCCCATCAAACTTTTGTGTCCGGTCCATAACTTTGTCATTTATCAAAGGAATTTGAAATAAATTGGTACAAATGTTTGTTATAATAAGACGATGTGTCATGCGCAACAACCAGACCCCTATCTCCAGGGTCAAGGTCGCACTTGCTCATTCAAGGTCAACATTGTCTATTTGAGGGTATATGTCGTGTCCCGTCCATAACTTTTTCATAGATCAAGGGACTTTGAAAATACTTTGCACAAAAAAGTCACAATGATAAGATGATATGTCATGCGTAACACCTGTGTCCCTACCTCCAAGGTCAAGGTCTCACTAAGAGAGCAAAGATTTACATAGTCTGTTATAGGGCATATTTTGTGTCCATTCCATAACTTTTTCATAAATCACGGGATTTTAAAAATACTTTGCACAAATAATCACTATAATAACACGATATGTCAGGTGCAATACATGGGCCCCTGCCTCCAAGGTCACACTTAGTGGTCAAAGATAAACTTAGTCTATTTTAGGGTATATTTCGTGTCCGATCTATAACTTCTTCATAGTTCAAGGGATTTTAAAAATACTTGGCACAAATAGTAACAATAATAAGACGATATGTCATGTACAACACCTGCATTAATTACATTAATTTGTTTTTTAGAATGGTATTGATGAAGATGTTAGCAAGGAATCCAGTCTTGAGGAGAAGTCTGTCCCAGTCAATGGTGTTACTGATGACCTTAGCAATGGCCAAACTGAAGAAGTAATGGAAGTTGATGGCGATAAAGAAGAAAAATCCATTGAAAATGGAAATGAGAAAAAGTCTGAGAATGATAATACACCAGTCATATTGTCTGACAATGGAGACAGTGATGTTATGGAAAGCAATAAAGGGTCTGAAAGTCCTGTTGTTGTTAATTCTGATGCCAGTCAGGATGATGATAACTCGGTAGAATGCATGGATGTAGATGGTAAAGAAGACGATGACTCTAATATAGTTGAACTTAGCTCAAATGTTAGTGCACCAAATTCTGATATTGTTGAAGTTGGGCAGAATGATTCAAACAACCCTAGTCTGATTTCAGAAGATAGTTCAAGAGATTCATCAGTGAGTGAGGAAAGTGTGAAGTCGGGAAATAGTGTAGATTTAAAGCAGAAAGAGGGTTTAGTGGAGACTGTAAAGGTTGATGATGATGAAATTTTAATAACTTTGAATGATGAGGAAGAGGCTAGTAAAGAGAAAACTATAGATAAGAAGGCAGAAAATTTGTCTGGTGAAAATAATAAAGATGTTGAAAAACAAGAATCTGAAAATAAAGCAGAAATTACTGAAAGAAATAAAGAAGTAAAATCTTCCGATGAAGACACTAGTGCCAATCTTGTTAAATCGGTCCCTGTAGCTGCAATAACCACAGGAGCTAGTTTAATCATTCAAACATCTGCAAGCCAGGTTATTAACACACAAAACATTATTGTTCAAGGGCCAAATATACCAGTTGGTTCCCAGCTTATTCGACAGGGAAACCAGTTTGGATATGTAACATTAGTTGGAAAGCAGCATATATTTGTACCAGTAAATAGTACTGTTCCTGCCATGGTTGCTAAAAATCCAAATCTAGCTAATCAGTTAGCACCAGTACAGCAGCTACAACAAAAGGCAGCCCCTGGGCCCACATTGAAGCCTGAAGACCTTAAACCAAAGTCTAGCTGGGAGATGATAGAGCTGATGAGGTGGGAACTACAAAATAGAGTTCCTGATAATTACAACTGGTCGGTTGTTTTTCATGGACGAAAAGACGATCTTAGTTCAGTTTCAACTTTTCTTCAAGAGCTTGGGAGTGATGTAGTTAAAGAACAGGTATATAAGGACATTATACAGATTCAAACGAAAAAGAAGGTAGCAGGAGATCTTAAAGATCCAGAAATTGAAAGTTTAGAGAAAATGAAAACTGTTTATGAAAACACTAAGAAAAAAGTGGAACATTTGCAGCTTGAAACCAAAGAATGTGAAGAGTGTAAATTCAAGACGGAATCAAATGTAGTGATGAATTATCATAAGGACTTTCCACATTATGACCCACCTTGGGACACAAATAGAGGCTGGTTGATGTGTGCTCATTGTGATTTTAAAACTAGAACAGTGGCACATTTTATTTTCCACACGAAAGATATTCATAATGTGCAAGCTAAATTCATAGAGAAAGATCACTGTTTCCAGTGTTCTTTATGCCCTTTGAATACCTCGACAAAGAACAAGCTAGAGAAACATCAGCAGAAATGTATCAAACATTTTAAATTGAATTCCAACTTGCAACCACTCTACCATGATGTGAATTTCTGTATGAAGACCTGCTTTTATAAGCCAAAAAAAGTAGTCCCTAAACCACCTCCGCCTGTTAAGCCTGCTGCTGCTGCTGCAAAACCAACAATGTTGACACGGCAACAAGGTGCTCCACCAGCTGTTGCTCAGAGTTTGCTACCGCAGAATAAAAATATACAACAGATTACTCCAGCTGTTAGACCCAACACAAACGTTGCAATACGACAGCGTCTCCCATTAATGAGAAGTCCAGCACTTCAGCAACCTGTTCAAAGACCTCAGATTCAACAGCCTAGACCTACTTTAAGACCTCCTACTCTCCAGAGAGCCCCTGTTCCTCAGCAGAAGCCTGTTAAGCCTCCTAATAAAGAAATGTCTGGCTTTGAAGTGTGTGAGTTATGTGGTGGCTATGTCAAGGATCGGCAAGCATTGAGAATTCACTTCTATTATGCTCACAAAGTAGAAATGCCTCAGGCAATATTTAGCAGACCTAATCCGCCACTTACTTGTGAAGTATGTAAATCACACTATTGGACCACTCAAGGACTATCGAAACACAAGACGGCACAGCGTCACTTCATCGGAGCCCAGCCTCAGGCACCAAGTGGAAAGATCACTACTGAAATGGAATGTTTCATGTGTGTGAAGAGGTTTCCAAATATGTTTTTACATTTTGAAAAAACTCACGGGATGACGATGAAAGACTTGGTATTGGTACGTAAGTGCATCATGTGCGGATATGCTGCAAGTGATTATAAAAATTTGGAGACACATCTTGTGAATACCCACGGTATTCTGATAAAAGTAAATGACTATATTAATGATAAAAGTAAACCTGCTAGGCCAACTCCATCGACAGCTGTAATTGGAGGAGGTAAAAATGTTGGAAAGATCAACTACTGCGTTTTCTGCCAAATACAGTTTCCTGATAACATTCAGTTAACAATGCATTGTATAAAGATACATGCCACATGTAGGACTTGTGGAATGGTCGTTGCCACTAGCAAACACCTGGCAGACCACAGCTGCAGGAAAGCACATATTAATCGTTCTTGCTACATCTGTGGAACTATTGTTACATCTCAAGAAAAATATGCCATCCATTTACGTTCGCATGTGAAGCCTTGTCGAGTGAAAATTGAAAATCTGTCCACAGATGAAATTGTTGAACTAAAGGAAAAAATAAAGCGCGAATATAAGCCAGCTGTTATAAGCCTTGATTCCGAAGAAGATTCTGATGTTGAGGTTGTTGAAACAAAACCCAGTAAAATGAAAGTTGTCCTTGAAAAAGATGGAGATGATGATGTAGAAATGGTTGATCTCTCAGAAGACACAGATGAAAAATCTGATAAAACTAGTAAATCTGAAAACGTGACAGATGAAAGTGAAAATAAAAAAGAAACCAACACAAGTCAGGAAACAGCTAAAATCTCAGAAGAAAATAAAACTGAAATAAAAACTGAGTCTGGCGAATCTTCAGATGTGAAAGAGACTGGGGAAAAAAGTGAAACAAAAGAGGAAGAAATAAATATTGAAAGTGTTCAAATTAAAGAAGAATCTGTTAAAGATAAAACAGCTAATATCTCAGATGAAAATAAAATTGAAATAAAAACTGAGCCTGGCGAATCTTCAGATATGAAAGAGACTGGGGAAAAAAGTGAAACAAAAGAGAAAGAAGGAAATATTGAAAGTGTTCAAATTAATGAAGAACCTGTTAAAGATAAAACAAATTCATCAGAAATTGCAGATACAGTGGAGAAAATAAAATGTGAGACTGAAATAAACAGTGCTTCAAAGGCTAAAGACAATAGCAAATCTGAGGACACTACTAGTCAATCTGAGTCTGCTGTTGATGGACATGTTAGTAAAGTTAAGGAAGATATGGAACTTGAAAGTGAAAAAATCAGTAATGATGTAAAAGTTGAAACTAATACAATTGAGTCTGAAGCAGAAATGGAAGAAAGGTTGCTGGGAAAAGAGGATGATGATGATAGTGTTTCGAATAGTGACAGTCATAAACGTAAAAAGAGCGAGTCCGATATTGATGAAGATGAACTGTTACGAGATGATGATTCAGGTGTAAAGAGACTAAAAGTTGAGGGTGATAATACTGTCAAATCAGAAAACGATAATGCTGTAACATCAGCTGAAAGTAATGGTGACAAAATAAAAACTAAACCGAAGGACACTGAGGAACAATCATATGATGATGTAGAAATGAGTGAAAGTGTTCCTGAAGCAACAACTGATACTATATGATGTGGACATGTTGATTAGTAAATCCGTATTACCCATATGAATGCTTGTGATGAAAATTGTTAGGTGTTTTTTTTTCTGATGAAAATTTAGTGTTTTGTTTTGTTAATGCTCAAGTTTTCTATTGTTAAATCCTTTTAGTAAACGTGAATGAAACTGTGTTCTTTATGGAACATATATGATCTGAGTGCAATTCCATTTAATTGAACATCTTATACATTATATAATGTTAAATATGATTGGTTAAATATTATGGATAGGGTCACGTGTTTAAAAATGATTGAAATTGTTATGGGAATATTTTTACATTTGTTACATATTCATTCAGATTTGACATAATAGTGCTTTGATTTTACATGAAAATAAGTTGCAACAGCAGGGTCACATTATTGACAAGAATACCAAAACACTGTACTGAAATCTCTGAATTGATGGTCAACACAATTGATGTCCATATCTGTCATTATTTTAAATGTAAGCAGTTTATTAAATTAAAAATTATCATAACTGTTATCATGTTAAATATCTTAAATGAACTTTTAATCTGGACAAAACCATTCATCATTTCTAGGTAAAATTATAAAATAGTACTGATTGAATAGCAGACAGGGCAAATCATGATATCACAGCAAAAACATGCTGTCTGATCTTGGTCAGCACTGGTCATACGAGTAGTATCAGTTCTCATCTGCAGGCTAAAGTTTAATCAAAGAAATTTCAACATGATACAATGCAAGATATAGACTAACTACAGGTAAACTCTAGTAAGGTAGTATTTTAATATTTTGAATAATCACAGTGTCTATTCTAGGAATTCAAAAATAGGGGTGATTTTCCCCCCTCTATTTCAAAAAAGGGGGCGATTTTCAAAATCAAGGGGTGCCAATATAAACTGCCAATATTAGATTGTCTGTATTAAGTTTAAACTGAGCCGTTCAACCGATGAAATAATTAAAAGGAAAATATTTATTTAAGGCAGCAGAAGTGTTCCCCCCTTAATTTTTTAAATGAAAACAAATTATTATAGAACTGTCGTGATTTATTATAAAGGGTATGACAATACAAACAATCGACCTATCTTTCACATTTAGATCGTAGCCAAGCTAGGAATTGCCTCATTTTTCTTGATTATTTACTACACTAAAATGGTGCCAAACTGTCAGACAAATCACACTAGTTCCGGTCGGTAGGGAACATTCCGTTTATTTCCGTCAACTCAAGTAACCAGTAACATACGGTACTAAATTATTATAATTAGCTTACAGTTTCCTCCCTTCGGTTTCCAGTGTAAATGTAAACAAAACAACCAAATATAATGCGGGATGGAAGTTTTATGATTTTATTAACTTTTTTTATAGATGCGCGATTTTCACGCACATGATTATGAATTGTGCGCGATCTGTGAAATACTAGTGTGTATCGCACAATCGCGCGTCCTAGAATAGACACTGTAATCATGTAACATTATAAGCAGATATCAGAAAGACACTTGTTGATAACATGTTATTCTCAATTCAAATTTCATAAGGTTTTTATTTCATCCTTTCCAAATTGACTTCGGGTCATTTCCAACAGATGCAACTAAACATTTTGTTGGAAGAACAGTTCTTTGTAAAATTGTTTGAAAACTTGAATTACGTAGATGAATGGAATTATTAGGATAGTTTTAGAATTGATCATTTTATTTTTTTGACAGAATTGTTTTACTTCCAACAAATCATGTTTACACTTTTTCTCTTCAAAGTTTTAGGTAAAAACAAATTGTGATCAAATTTGCTATTCGCCAAATGTTTTGTTCAAGCCAATAGATCTATTTGCTGTATGATTAATCTATTTGCTGTATACTTTTTATTAGTTGATTAAGGACTTCTGTAACATTTTATTGATTGTTTTCTATATCTATGTTTCACCGTTTCAATAATCATTGCACGATTATACCAAAGAACTACAGTAAAACCTCTTCATGCAACACCCTGATGGCAATGGTTGCTATAAAAAGGTTTTTGTTTTAGAGAGGTAAAATTCATTTTCATGTTATAGTTATGGGAAAAATGATGATATTGTTACATAAAGGTTTTAGAGGGCTGCTCTGATGGGGTTACACTGTAGATATTAAAACAAATATATGCTTGGGCAATTTAATAGAGAAACTTAATAGAAAATACAAGACTTAAGTTTTTGAATATAATATGTTGTTTTTATACAGCAGAAAAATTGAGAAGGACCTGCTATGTGTGCTTAAAATTAATATATGAAATTATGTTACAAAATACTAGGGGTGTCATGGTTGGCAATACTGTCAATGACTTAATACCGTTCTATTGTTGAATTACTTTGTTATTTTTGCACAATCTATATATCTTGATACTGATTTGTAAAAAGCAAAGTACAAATTTATGTTTACCAGTAATGCACAATGATGGAAATTATATGTACAAATGTGTTCAATGTACCAATATATATGATATGGTGAAAGACATGTACTAATTTTGGGTGTTTTGGTTTTTCTTCACTATTATTCTGAACTACTATTGGATCTTGTGTGAAAATTATAGTCTTAAAAGATACAAGTATTTGTAACTTACCTTATTCCTCTGTTAAATTTATATAAGTATGGTTGATAAGACATCATCACTCGTGTAATACAATGATTATGATTTGGAGGAAGGAACTTTTTAATGACAAAAAAGTCATCATTTTAAGTAGGGAATATTATTTTTTAGAATTCAGTGAAGAAAATTGTTTAAGAAAGTTTAAATCATTATTTTTCAGTTCATAGATATTTTGCCTTGTTAAAGTTAAAAATAATCAGTCTTTGTTGAATATTATCCCCCGCCGATGGAATCGGGAGGGGGATATAGTTTTGGCGTTGTCCGTCCTTCCGTCCGTCCGTCCATCCGTCCGTCCGAATTTCCTTTCCGGAGTAGTTCTCTGCAACTAATGGCTGGAATTCAACGAAACTTTATGGGAATGTTGATCAGCATGTGAAGTTGTGCACCTGGGTATTTTCGTCTGGATATTTTTAGTATTTTTAGAGTTATTGCCCTTGACTTAGTAAAACGTCCGAATTTCGTTTCCGGAGTAGTTCTCTGCAACTAATGGCTGGAATTCAACGAAACTTTATGGGAATGTTCATCAGCATGTGAAGTTGTGCACCTGGGTATTTTCTTCTGGATATTTTTAGTATTTTTAGAGTTATTGCCCTTGACTTAGTAAAATTTTGTAATTTTCAACTTGTGTCGCATGTAACTCAAAAAGTATTTGACCTAGAGTCATGAAACTTTACAGGAATGTTGATCAGTATGTGTAGTTGTGTACCTGGGTATTTTCATCTTGATATTTTTAGCATTTTTAGAGTTATTGCCCTTGACTTAGTAAAATTTTGTAATTTTCAACTTGTGTCGCATGTAACTCAAAAAGTGTTTGACCTAGAGTCATGAAACTTTACAGGAATGTTGATCAGTATGTGTAGTTGTGCACCTGGGTATTTTCGTCCGGATATTTTTACTATTTTTAGAGTTATTGCCCTTGACTTAGTAAAATTTTGCAATTTTCAACTTGTGTCACATGTAACTCAAAAAGTATTTGACCTAAAGTCATGATACTTTACAGGAATGTTGGATCAGCATGTGTAGTTGTGCACCTGGGTATTTTCGTCTGGATTTATTTAGAAATTTTAGAGTTATTGCCCTTGACTTAGAAAATGTTTGCAATTTTCAACATGTGTCGCATGTAACTCAAAAAGGATTTGACATAGAGTCATTTAACCTTATTGGAAAGTTGCTCAGCATATTTAGTTTGTTCCTGGGGTTTCGCTTGTGGATTTATCCAGTATTTGTAGAGTTATTTCCCTTGACTTAGTAAAAACTGTTTCATTATGTTGTTATTTGATCCTTGAGTGCTTGAGTTAGAATCAACCAACTTTACAGGAATAATGATCAACATCACTAAATTACGAATAATGAAGTCTGGAGATTAAGATGTTTTTACATCTAGGTGAGCTATTGTGATCCCCCACCGTCCGTCGTCATGCGTCGTCAGCAATTTCTTTAAACAACATCTCCTCAGAAACAAATGACTGCACAGCAACCAAACTTTACAGGAATGATCCTAGGGTGGTCCCCTGCCAAAGTTGATCAAATGGTTCTGGTCTGTTGCATAGCCTTATGTCTTCAGTTGTTGTGTTAATAATAACCAGTACTCGGCGGGGGATATAAATTCAACGAATTTGCTTGTTATCCCCCGCCGATGGAATCGGGAGGGGGATATAGTTTTGGCGTTGTCCGTACGTCCTTCCGTCCGTCTGTCCGTCCGTCTGTCCGTCCGTCCATCCGTCCGTCCGAATTTCGTTTTCGGAGTAGTTCTCTGCAACTAATGGCTGGAATTCAACGAAACTTTATGGGAATGTTGATCAGCATGTGAAGTTGTGCACCTGGGTATTTTCGTCTGGATATTTTTAGTATTTTTAGAGTTATTGCCCTTGACTCAGTAAAATTTTGTCCGAATTTCGTTTCCGGAGTAGTTCTCTGCAACTAATGGCTGGAATTCAACGAAACTTTATGGGAATGTTGATCAGAATGTGTAGTTTTGCACCTGGGTATTTTCGTCTGGATATTTTAGTATTTTTAGAGTTATTGCCCTTGACTTAGTAAAATTTTGTAATTTTCAACTTGTGTCGCATGTAACTCAAAAAGTATTTGACCTAGAGTCATGAAACTTTACAGGAATGTTGATCAGTATGTGTAGTTGTGAACCTGGGTATTTTCGTCTGAATATTTTTAGTATTTTTAGAGTTATTGCCCTGCACTTAGTAAAATTTTGTAATTTTCAACTTGTGTCGCATGTAACTCAAAAAGTATTTGACCTAGAGTCATAAAACTTTACAGGAATGTTGATCAGTATGTGTAGTTGTGCACCTGGGTATTTTCATCAGGATATTTAGTATTTTTAGAGTTATTGCCCTTGACTCAGTAAAATTTTGTCCGAATTTCGTTTCCGGAGTAGTTCTCTGCAACTAATGGCTGGAATTCAACGAAACTTTATGGGAATGTTGATCAGCATGTGAAGTTGTGCACCTGGGTATTTTCGTCTGGATATTTTTAGTATTTTTAGAGTTATTGCCCTTGACTTAGTAAAATTTTGTAATTTTCAACTTGTGTCGCATGTAACTCAAAAAGTATTTGACCTAGAGTCATGAAACTTTACAGGAATGTTGATCAGTATGTGTAGTTGTGCACCTGGGTATTTTCGTCTGGATATTTTTAGTATTTTTAGAGTTATTGCGCTTGACTTAGTAAAATTTTGTAATTTTCAATCACAATCATCAGTCACACGGGGCCAGAAAAGTAGTTTCAAAAATGCAAAATTAAAAAATCTTGTCTGACAGTACAAGGCCTAGAGCTTTGATATTTGGTATATGATATAACATATAGGTCCTCTGCCAAAATTGTTCAAATTTTAGCCCTGGGGTCAAAATTGGCCCCACTCCAGGGGGTCATAGATTTTCCTTTTATGAATATAGTGAAAAATTTACAGTTTATGCCATGATTAATATATAAATAAAGCCTTATGTCTTCAGTTGTTGTGTTAATAATAACCAGTACTCGGCGGGGGATATAAATTCAACGAATTTGCTTGTTGGTATTTGTATGACACTCGTACAGTTTCATGTGAAGTAAATTCGGCCTTAGCAATTAAGGAAAATTGTACATGACTCTTTTTTTCATGTGTGTGTGCATAATCATGTTGATACACTTGCAGCATGTTGCAAGTGAAATTAACTGTTAAATATCTTAAAAGGACTTGTTCATCTGTCAAACTGGATGTAACCATTCATTGTTTTTAGAGAAAATTTCAAAATATGTACTGAATAGGCATACATTGTAGATAAGGATCATGTGGTGCAGAAATTCTGGCTGATACTGATCGGCACTATTGGTCATATGGGAAGTCAGTTACTAACGGCAGGCTGCTGTGAAAATTTCACGTCTTTTCTATTATAATGCACATGTGCAAGAGTGCTTTGTTAATAGATAACAAAAAAGTGTCTATGTATCAATAACAAAAAAGTGCATTTTCTCACTAGGTACAGAATGTTTATAATTGTTCCAAATGTTTGCAAATTTAAGTGTTAATGCGTTGCATATATTTACCAGTGTCATAAAACAGATACTACAATCCATTTGCTTTCCATCATTTTAGCCGCGTCATGACAAAACCAACATAATGGGTTTGAGACCAGCATGGTTCCATACAAGCCTGTGCAGTCTGATCAGGATCCATGCTGTTCGCTGTCAGTTTCTTTACTTGTAATAGAGTTGGTAACTGAACAGCATGGATCCTGATCAGACTGCGCATGGTCTGGATCCATGCTTGTCGCAAACGCACTATGTTGGTTTTGTTGTGACGCGGCTCATTTGTTTAAACGCTTTCTTAAGGAAGCAGATGGTCTCTTCAGTGTTTAATTCTGTATTTGCCTAATTGTTATAATACTGAAATTTAAAAAAAAAAAAGAAAAATGGGCATAAATGTTTTATTGATATTTAATGGTGATTTTGGGCTATTGTGGTATGTCTGTTTTTGTGGAACAGTTTAAAAGTTCATACTAACTGCCTTTCTATAGTATAATAAGATATGATTTATTGTTCAGTTATGATTGTTAAACTTTTTTACCTTCACCATGTTAATTCAAGTATTTTTAGCTCGACTGTTCGATAAGAATAAGTAGAGCTATTGCAGTCACCCGAGCGTCGGCGTCGGCGTAACCACTTATGTTAAAGTTTTTGTAATAGTTCAAATATTTTCAAAGTCCATAGACATATGGCTTTGAAACTTTGCACACTTGTTCACCATCATGACCCCAACCTGTAGACAGGAGGAGGTAACTCTATCAAGCATTTTGACAGAATTATGCCCCTTTTTCGACTTAGAATTTACGTTAAAGTTTTTGTAATAGTTCAAATATTTTCAAAGTCCATTGACATATGGCTTTGAAACTTTGCACACTTGTTCACCATCATGACCCCAACCTGTAGACAGGAGGAGGTAACTCTATCAAGCATTTTGACAGAATTATGCCCTTTTTCGACTTAGAATTTACGTTAAAGTTTTTGTAATAGTTCAAATATTTTCAAAGTCCATTGACATATGGCTTTGAAACTTTGCACACTTGTTCACCATCATGACCCCAACCTGTAGACAGGAGGAGGTAACTCTATCAAGCATTTTGACAGAATTATGCCCTTTTTTCGACTTAGAATTTATGTTAAAGTTTTTGTAATAGTTCAAATATTTTCAAAGTCCATTGACATATGGCTTTGAAACTTTGCACACTTGTTCACCATCATTACCTCAACCTGTAGACAGGAGGAGGTAACTCTATCAAGCATTTTGACAGAATTATGCCCCTTTTTCGACTTAGAATTTACGTTAAAGTTTTTGTAATAGTTCAAATATTTTCAAAGTCCATTGACATATGGCTTTGAAACTTTGCACACTTGTTCACCATCATGACCCCAACCTGTAGACAGGAGGAGGTAACTCTATCAAGCATTTTGACAGAATTATGCCCCTTTTTCGACTTAGAATTTACGTTAAAGCTTTTGTAATAGTTCAAATATTTTCAAAGTCCATTGACATATGGCTTTGAAACTTTGCACACTTGTTCAACATCATGACCCCAACCTGTAAACAGGAGGACTTAGAATTTATGTTAAAGTTTTTTGTAATAGTTCAAATATTTTCAAAGTCCATTGACATATGGCTTTGAAACTTTGCACACTTGTTCACCATCATTACCTCAACCTGTAGACAGGAGGAGGTAACTCTATCAAGCATTTTGACAGAATTATGCCCCTTTTTCGACTTAGAATTTACGTTAAAGTTTTTGTAATAGTTCAAATATTTTCAAAGTCCATTGACATATGGCTTTGAAACTTTGCACACTTGTTCACCATCATGACCCCAACCTGTAGACAGGAGGAGGTAACTCTCACAAGCATTTTGACAGAATTATGCCCCTTTTTCGACTTAGAATTTACGTTAAAGCTTTTGTAATAGTTCAAATATTTTCAAAGTCCATTGACATATGGCTTTGAAACTTTGCACACTTGTTCAACATCATGACCCCAACCTGTAAACAGGAGGAGGTAACTCTATCAAGCATTTTGACAGAATTATGCCCCTTTTTCGACTTAGAATTTACGTTAAAGTTTTTGTAATAGTTCAAATATTTTCAAAGTCCATTGACATATGGCTTTAAAACTTTCCACACTTGTTCACCATCATGACCCCAACCTGTAAACAGGAGGAGGTAACTCTATCAAGCATTTTTTTACTATCAAGCACTAAGAATAGTCGAGCGTTGCTGTCCTACCGACAGCTCTTGTTAAGGGACTTGTCCGTCTTTAGATCTTGACAAAACTATACATTATGTTTAGGGAAAATTCAAAATAATATGTACTGACAGAATAGCAAACAGTGCAGATCATGATGTAATCTTAGTCTGCATTGGTTGCATAGGTAGAATCTATTGCTGCCAGCAGGCTAATTGTAAAGCTTCATTGGGTTATTTTTCAGAATAGGACGGCCATTTTTCTTAATTTGCTTGTATTTTATGATAGGTTTTTGCTTTACAATCGTGCATAATAATTTTTTTGTAAATTCTGTATGAAGGACTGTATATTTGGAGGGAATAAGTTATAAAATGTAGTTGTCATAAAGTAAATAAAAATATAGATATTGATATATATGTAATAATAAGGAGGATATTTTGATTATGTTGCTATATAGATTAATATGGAGTAGTATTTTTGTTTCAAATGTTGTATAAGTTTGTGCTGCTGTGTGTCATATATAATATAAGAGTATTAGTTGCTATGTTCAGTGACTCCTGGAATAAATTTTACTGTTGTACTGTGCTTATGTAAACAATAAAGCATATATTTCTATCAGTAATATGTATGTTCTTTGTTCTTTTGTTGTACCCCCACCACAAACTTAAGTTTAGGGGGAATATAGGAGTCAGCTTGGTTGGTCAGTCAACATCATGGTCTCTGGCTGATAACTAGAGTTTGGAATGAGGTATTGTAAATCAAACTTGGTATATAGCAACCCAGGTTGGTTTTGCATTGGGGGCCCCTGTGGTCAAAGTCACTGTTACACTTAAAAAATGGTTTCCGGATAATAATCGAGTTAGGAATGAGATACTGTAATCAAACTTGGTGTATAGCAAGCTTATATGAAGACCTCAGTTGGTATTGCATTTGGACCCCCTGGGGTCAAGGTCACCATTACTTAAAATAGAAAAAAACAGTGTCTGGACAATTACTAGAGTTTGGAATGAGATTTGTAATCAAACTTGGTGTATAGTAAGCTTACATGAAAAATCCAATTGGGATTGCAATAAATTGAAATAATTCTTTGTACACTGTTGATACTACAGGCCCGAGTTAAAAATTTTTTAAAAGTATTATATTTCAAAAAGTCGAAGTTGCTAGCGGGGATATTAATCACCTACATATCGGCCTTAGTGTTTTTCATGGTGAAAATTCATTTTCTAGTCTTTTGCATTTTTCCATTTTGTTCAAAAAAACCTTGGATTTTTATCCGGGGTCGCAGGTTTAAACTCCATTAACAAACATTCTCTTTAAAAAGATCTCAAAAATTACTAATGTTTATTTTCTCTTACCGCAAATTAAGGATCAAGGGGTTGGGTTTTCAGAAAAAAATTGTTACAAATTGGGATTTAAAAAAAAGTCCCCTTTTTTAAAAATTTAAAATCTTTTCCGGAGTTTTAAAATCTTTTCACTGCAAATAGCACCAAAAATTTTTGAAAAATAAGTACCAAAATTTTAGGATAGAAAATATTGGGTGGGCAAATAGTTTTTTCATCATACCCTCTTTACATCGTTTCTTACAATAAATAAAAAACTTTTGAATGAATATGTTACAAACTTGGTATGTGGAGACCTGGCTTGGGATTGTTTAAGGACCCCTTATGGTCAAAGTCATCGTTACTACATGGGTGCAAGTTTTCAGGCATATGCCTGAAGTTCAGGTTTTTTGTGACAAATTCCACCATGTTTTACTATTAGATTATGTAGGGAAATAATTATGAATAAAGGATTTCAGGTTTTTCCAAATTTTCAACTTGCACCCATGTTACTAAAAATATCAAACAGATTCTGGACAGTAACAAGTTTGGAATGAGATATTGTGATCAAAATTTGTATATAGCAAGCTTTTATGTTGAGACCTTGGTTGGGATTGGTTTTGGGCCCCTAGGGTATGACTCTTCTTGCTATGGTGACAGCTTTAGTTATATTGCTTAACTTTCTTCACTCATAAAACAGTTTCTAGAGAGCTCTTGGGGGGTATTTTCTTGACCTTGACCCCATTAAGGTCAAATAGTTACTGAACATAGGCATAATGTGGTAAAAAAGCCTAAAAGCCTAAACCTTTTGTAAGCTACCTGAATAGCCTATTCACATGATGTTCCATTCTTGACATGATTGGGAAACCAAAAAAAAATGCTAGGGGCCCTCTATTTTTAAAACCAAACTTTTTTCATATCACGCTGTCAGCTTTTTCCTGACAACAAATCATTATTTTTATTTTCTTTCCCCAAAAAACCCCCCCTTTTTATCCCCCCCATAATTTTTTTTAATCAGCAGTGAAAACAGAATCCCCTTTAAAACAAATTGTTCCCAAAGATGAATTTTTTACAGAGAAACCACTTTCCTTGGGGTATCTGGGTTTCCAAACCCTTAACCAATTTAAAATTTTAAACACAAATTTAAAACAAAAAAAATATAGTTAAATGGGGTTTTATTTATTGTTCAACCAACAAAGGAGTAAACTTCTCGATACATATAGGAGTTAAAATAAAATAATTCTGACACATGATTTATCACAGAATGCTAGTAAATAAACAACATAGATAAATACAAATTTTAGCCTTTCATGTGCAAGATAAATTGAACAAAATGAATATAATCTAAATAAACTTTGAAACACTAAAAGTACCTAAAAAAATTTTTACAGAATGATCCTCTTTTATATGATTGGTAAACACTCGCTCTGATCTTTCACCTTGCTATGATTTTATACCCATTACTTGTATTAACCTGTAACCTGCTGAAACCAGATTGATAAATCTATGTTACCGGTATAAAACCAGGCCAGTCTGCACTTCTGGCTAAATACTATTAAATTTTTATTTTATTATCCCTAAAATTGATAATGGAGGGTTCCAAAAATGGAAGCCAGACAAGTGCATTTAAGGAAATCAGTAGGTTATGGGTTATAAGTTATAACTAGCTAATTTTCCTATTTGTAAAATAACAATTGCCAAATAACATGGAAATAACAATATGAACAAGTAACTTAACAATTTAGCTTAAAGGAACTCCACTGAAGTTAAAAACATAGTATTTCAAATTCTTGCATAGATCAAGTGAGGCATTTAAAATGGATAAATCTGCAAAGGATAATAAAGATAAGAATTGTTGCTCAGAATTAAATTATATATTGATTTTTGTGCGTGATCCTTGGTGCTTTTAGTGTGAAAATCATAGCAACCCTTTTCATTTTGGGTCATTTTGCCTATAAAACTGGGCCAACCCTACATCAAATGGTAGATTAATCTCGAAAAAAAATAATTCCAGTCCCATCAATGAACATGTCAGAAAACCTCTGTGGAGTCCCTTTAAATCAAGATTTTGAATTTGAGGTTGAGTCTTTCACTGAATGATTACAAAATTACAAAATTAAGTCTATATTGTTCAGTAAATCAAAAGTAATCACTTATAAATTTAAGTATAAAAAATCAAAATAAAGATAAATTTTAAAAAAAAGGCTCAAAAACATCAAAAAAAATAATGCTGAATTTTTAACTCGAAAACTAAAACATTTTGCCCCACCAAAATTAACAACATCTCTATTTCAACCCTATCCCCAAATTTTTTCCCCCCTTTCTTTTACATTTTAAACCATTTTTCTGAAAAAAAAATTCAAAAACTTTTAAAATTTTTCCCTTCCCCGATTACTCCCAAAAAAAAACACAAAACCCAACCCCTTTCAGAAAATTAAAAAATTAAAAATTTTTGGGAGTTGTTTTAAAATTTTTTTCATCAAATAACAGAAAAAAACTAAATTTATGAAAAAATTACATTTTAAAAACAATATTTAAATGCTGAATCACTGTGCAATATCTATTTCTCTGCTTTTTGTGATAAAAATTATTCTTTTGCATCAACAATATGCTAATTAACTATCCTTTTGCATAATTTATATTAAGGGCTGTGGTACAATGCTCAGAAAACAATACTTGAAGCGTGAATGCTGGAAAATTGCATAAAAAGCTTCTTAATCTTAGGTCTCTTACGTGAAAATGCTGATTTTTTACTTATGTGCAACAATAACATATATTTTGGAAGAATCCTGTAAAAATTACTTCTTCATATTATGAATTTAAGGAAGATAATCAAGATATTACTATATTACTTCTTTCAAAATACTTCAAAGGCTTATGAAAGCAGATAACAAAAAAAACAATAAAAAGAGAGCAAAAAAGGCCGTCTAAATGTTACGTGATATTTCAAATACAATGAACATATTTATTATGGACCTGAAATAAATGATTAGATGACACTGTGAATAAAAGCTGGTTAACTTTAGTAGATTTTAAGTCTAAAAATAGACTGAATTTTTATACAATTGTGTGATTAAAAGCTACATGTATATGTATTAAATAAAAGCTCTTCCTGGGATTAGTTAAAAACATGTACATGTATATTGGAAGGAAGACCATGTAAACATATAATGTATTCCAAATTTAAAATTAAATATTTATATTATGACATGTTTTTTTATAACATTTCATGATGATACAAATAAAAACTTAAATGAGTTTTAATTCAAATTTAAGTTCTGAAAACCAAAACCGATTGATAATATAAATATTTTGTTTAATTAAATTTTCTTGTCATTCATACCTTTTTTAAAAAAAAGAAATTCACTGAAGTCTGAGTCACTCGGAATAGTTCATTTGATAATAATATGTATAAAAATCAACATTTTAAAATAAAACAAAATCATGAAGCCCCAGTTCCGTTACGTCTGTAAAATTCGGCTTTAACATGAGCTATTCGTACATGTTTCCTATCTGGTGGATCTAATTCGGTTTCAAGGTCATGTCCATAAATAGATGAGGATAAGGTTGGTACAGGCTTAATCTTTTCCTGAAATGAGAAAAAAAGTTTTTCAACACATTAAACATTTACTTTATTAAACTTGTACAAAAGACTTGATATTTTTTTACTTTTTATTTTTGTATCATCTTTTCCTGAAATGAGAAAAAAGTTTTTCAACACATTAATACTTTTACTTTGTTAAACTTGTATGTTAAACACGGGTGACTTTTTATTTTTATTTGTCTTATGCACTTGGTTTAGATCTGTAACCGTCCATTGTGTATATATAAGAAATATTTATGTCACTGTACCAACAGAAAGCAATAGAATAGAATCTTTGTTAAGATTGTTAAATTTTCAAGTCACACAATTACTGTAAATGTCATTAGGTGACATCCTGTGAGGGAAGACCTCAGGTGCCCATTGGTGTATTAATTCAGGTACAAGGGGGCATCTGAGTAGAACCACTGACCTTCCACAAGCTTGCTTTATCCTAAGATACCTCACATAATAGAATCGTGTTTTGAACACACAGCTGGGAGAGGCAAGTGATGTAAGTTAGCGACTTTAACCACTTGCCATACAGGCCCTATCCTGCACAAGTGCATGCTGACTGACTGCCTATACTGAAGTTTCGGTATGTCAACATTACCTCTAGCATTCAGAGAGTTCAGCTATTTGTCCAGACTTCTGAAATGACGACTTTCACCCTCAAAGCTACTGATTTGCTATTTTTTAAATATGTTCTTTCTTATAAATAGAAGAAATTTAAAGAACCAAAGTTACGCAAATGTTTTTATCATCAATCAAAGCAAACTTCTGGTTCACTTAAAATCTTCACAATTTCTATCTAAGCAAGACTTCCATTGTGCCGTTATTCTTTTCTTCACAGAATGATATATTTTTTTTACAATCATTGGTTGAAGGTTTTGACACACAGTCATTTACAATTTGATTCATTGAATTACATATGTTAGATTTGAGTTAAAATAAAGAATTCATACCTCTTCATTGACAATAAGTCCCCTAGATTTAGCATGCTCCCTGTCATCTCTGTGTAATTTATTGTTATAACCAATCTGTTTTCTAAATAACCTGTCGTATGTACTGTTGGGATTCTCCTAGAAAAATAAAACATAACCAAACAATTAAAATATATCCACCACAATCTGTATTCATAAATTATTATCATCCTATGTTATTTAGGTCACTGTGTACACCAATTTATAATTAACGCTATAATAATTTCATTCATTTTTTAAGGCTATGCATTTTTTTGCAAGAAATAGAAGGCCAAATAAAGGCACTTCCATAAAGTTCATAATTCAATCTTAATTTGATGCTTAATTAAAGAAAATATATCTGATATAGGTTTGTGGTTGGGATAGGAATATCCTTCCCTTGGGAACCCAAAATTGGCGGGTCCCCTCGAGACACAAATTCCAATCCCAACCACAACATATGACAGATATTTAAATCCACGGTTTATTCCAGTGTCTTTTCTTACACCCCATGTGTAAGACAGCTTGCAAGCTTTATATGATGTTATTTCCATGTGCCTTTTATGAATGAATTGCGATCTGAGAATGACATCATTTATATGATTAATATCATATGGAATAATTATGCAAGAAAAAGGATCAAATTACTGGCTGCTGATACAGACAGGAATATGTAGCTCCCAGGTAACTCTTTTTAGAGAAAACTCAGCAGAGCCTTGTCTCTATAAACAGTTGCCCTCAATACCGGAAGCTGGTGTAAGATCCTTCTATCCCATTACCAAAAGTACACAAATGCAAAATATATGACAAGTACACATTTATTTAAAAGCAAAACTATCAAAAAGACAATACATACATTTATCTTATCATTTGTTATCAAGAATGATCCTAGTTAAGCCAGACAAGGGCTGATGAAAAACAGCTTTGTTAACTCAATATTCAATCATTTACTGATTTTTCAATTTAAAACAAGATTGCATTTGAGAAAAATGCTATGCCACCGCATTAATACAACACTAAATAGTAGTGTAGGAACAGATTTTTTTTTGTTTCTATACAATTGAAGATTGTCATAATGCATAGATCCCTGACCTATCTAATTCTTATTATCAGATTAGTGGTTAAATATATTGTTATTCCAATAAAAGATCAGAGTAGGAATATACCAATGCACTCGAGTCTATTGAATTCGGTGGTGAAGGTCATATTTCACACAGCTTAAATTTCACGACTACATCAAAGGACAACACAGAAAGACACTTTGTCAAAATCTAGGTCAGCTGATATCAAAGTTCACTTTACATCTTAATCTGTGCACATGGTTTCATAGCTGTACATCAAAGGACAAGAAAGTAGGTCACATCATCAAAATCTAGGTCACCTGATATCAAAGCTCAATTTTACAACTAAAACTGTGCACAAGGTCAAAATTTCATTGCTGTACATCAAAGGACAAGAAAGTAGGTCACTGTCCCCTTGGGCAAGGCCAAGGGTTTAATTCAAAACAATCTTGATACAGGTCCACCAAACAACATTTTTAGTCAAATATCTAAGCTGTAGCTTTCTTCCCATTTTTACTATATACATTAAAGGAAAACCTATGGCCCCCGGGCAGGGCAATTTTGACACTAGAGGCAAAATTTGAACAACTTTGGTAGAGTACCTATAGATGATATCATTTAACAAAATTTAAAATTAAAGCTCTAAGCCTTGTACCTTCAGAGAATAAGATTTTTTGATTTTTACTATTTGTATATATTGAAAATCAATGACCCCCAGGGCGGGGCAATTTTGACCTCAGGGCTATAAATTTGAACAATCTTGCTAGAGATTCACTTCACAATGTTCATGCAAAATATCTAACTTTTAGCATTTGTCAATTGCTAGAAGAATTTTTTTTTAAGTTTTTACTATAAGTTTTTACTTTATACATATAGGGAAAACCAATGACCCCCGGGGCCGGGCTGTTTTTGTCCTCAGGGCTATAATTTGAACAATCTGGGTAGAGGTCCACCAGACAATGCCTTATGCAAAATATCTAAGCTCTAGGCCTTTTGGGTCTTTACAAGAAGGTATTAGTTTTTACTATATGTACATATAGTGAAAATCAATGACCCCCGGGGCGGGGCCGATTTTAACCCCAGTGCTATAATTTGAACAATCTTGGTAAGGGTCTACCAGACAATGCTTTATGCAAAATATCTAAGCTCTAGGCCTTTTGGGTCTTTACAAGAAGGTATTTTAAGTTTTTACTATATGTACATATAGTGAAAATCAATGACCCCCGGGCGGGCCTATTTTGACCCAAGGGCTATAATTTGAACAATCTTGGTAGAGGTCTACCAGACAATGCCTTATGCAAAATATCTAAGCTCTAGGCCTTATGGATCTTTACAAGAAGATTTTTTAAATTTATTCTTATAGTTCCTTTTGGTTGCCATGGCAACCAGATTTCTGCATGGAATAAAATTCTTTGAACAACTTTGGAAGCCCTTCACCCAAGGATCAATCCTGCCAAGTTTGGTTGAAATTGGACTAGTAGTTTTTCACAAGAAGATTTTTTAAGTTCACTATATAATCTATATAACACACAAACAAACAAACACACACACACACAGGTGAATCGCTATATGCCACCGCATCGCAGATGCTGCGGTGGCATAAAAAAAAAGCTGCATTAAACATAACCATTGTTAACTACTAAGCAAGGAAAATATTCAAATTAACATAAAATATGTATGTTAAATTTAATATGGTAATTTATCTATGGTATGTGCACATTTTTTACTCTTAATTATTAAATTAATTCATAACTCTAAAAATTCCAACATTAAACATGTAAAAGAACATAGGAATGCCAAAAAAACACAAACAAATTCACAGAAAATAAAGCAGTTATGTTGTTTATGTACATATTTTATAATTCAATATGATCATTAAGATTCATTTTCAGACTTACAAGATTTAAAATTATAACTATACTTTTTTTGTGAGACAAAGGTAATTAACGGTATATGCAAATAAAAGTTAATTCTGAGTTACATTTTTCTTTTATAATATCTGGTGCATATTATTTCAAATAAACTTTCTATACCTACTAGTGATATACATTGTATATCATAGCATAATTTGAGGGTTGAGCGCAAAACTGTTGTAACTCCTTCTTTATTGCATACAAGTTACTGCAGTTTTGCAGTCAACCTTTGATAATTTATATTATGTTAAAATGATTAAACAAAATCTAGCATTATATTAGGACATTACACTATTCTAAACATAACTAGTTTTATTCCTGATTTACTATGTAACATATGAACATTGAATGACAAAAGTAGCTTGTAAAGTCAATTGATAAAATACCTTGATACATATAATGTCCCTTTATGTAAGCTTTTTATAAAATATATAGCAATAAAGTATTTGGTTCTTGCTGGTCAAATTTTCTGCAATGAACGATTAATTATCACTTTTGATTTTATCATTTTCAGTATTTAAAAAAAATTATTTTGGAAGTTTTTATTCTTGCAAAAATGGCAGAACAGTTGTCATGAATTTTAGATTATATATGTAATTTAAAACATTAATATACAAATGACTTTACATGCCTACAATTTTATGTGAAGCACAGCTCCTAGCATAATTATATATTTGTTAGTTTTACCTCTTTGTTTATCATCACCTGTAAGTGTCATAAATTAATAAACATAAGTAATATATCATCAATAAACAGGGAACATCAACTCACTGATTATGAATATGATAAAATCTCGGGAAAATATTTCCAAATTAACAAAAATAACTCATTCCAGAGCTGGCTAATCAGACGAGGTGTTTGTGCAAAACAAAAGAATTAAAGGAGAGAAGTTGAGTCAAAACCTGATGCTATTATATTTCATCACTAGCAGCATGTAGCTGTTGCGTGATAGCTCAGTTAGTTAGACCATTACTGTAAATCCTGAGGTTCAGGATTTGATCCTGGGTAACACCCTTGGGATTTTTCAGACACTTTCAGTGTTTCCCACCTAACTAGAGGTGTACTGGTTAGAAGTCCAGGTATCAGTGCTATACACTGGGCATGTAAAAGAACCAAGTGGTCTATTCAATAAAGCGTGGGACTGGTTCCTGGATTACCTTGTATCTCTTAGCTGTCTCTGAAGTGATTTATCTTGAGTCATGTCTACATACATGAGGGGTTTAAAATTAATGGAATATACATGTAGTCTAGAAAGTGTATGTGAGAGTATATTTAGTAATTTATAGTTTTGCCTGACAACTGATCAACATTTTATTGCTAGAAATACACGGACAGCTATTTTTTGAGTATGGACACAGACTGCTTATCAGGGCCGGCAAAATCAATAGTCAGTATTGCCCAGATTGTCCCACAGCCTGTACCAACAAATGAAAATTTTCAAGAATTAACTATGAAAATATAATACAGACAAGTTAAAAATGATTCACATGATGATAAAAATGGATAAGCAGGGTGTCCGTTAGACCCTTGAAATGACTCTCTGACCCTTCATATTTCCAAAAGGCCTGATTTGACCCTCAGGATTTTATCTGGAGGGTCAAATTTTGTTAAAACCATTGGGATTTGGCCTTGTAGTCAGTAAAACTTAGTCAAAATGACCCTCAGGATTTCATGGCTAGATAAGTAAGTCAAAATCAGATTTTGCCGGCCCTGTGTATAGTTTGTATCCATACTTAAAATGCAAAACAATATCGCAAACATACAGCCAAGCTTATTCTGCAGATTCCTTAGCTGCTCACTTTCTTATAGTCTGCAATATTTAATATACTGAATTTATTTAATAAATGATGCCTTATGATTATCTTTTTTCATGTGGAAACGGAATTTCAACATGTATCGTATTTGACATCTTTGTCATTTCTTGAAAAAAGTGAGTATTTATAAGGCCTCAAAAGTAGTGTCAGTGTGTAACCTTACAAGTGTCTGACACTCACTGTGTCATGGATATTCTGCAAAAAAAATCCTGGAATTGAAAATTAACATGAATTATCAGTTATTCCTTTTATTTTATTTGACGAAAATAGAATATATCTTCGGCTGGATTTTGCTTTTCAGACAATTTACACAATAACTTAAAGAAATATCATCAGATTTTTCAGGTTTCTAATGTAAACAACCACTCATTTCTTTGAAACTCACTGGTTTTCGCGAATTATACACTGTTCTCTGTGGTGGATCGTGTCTTTCTGTTGGTACAAATGAAAATGCCGACAGTTCACATGGTCTTCCTTTTAATTTAAAGTTATCTGTCTCTGTCATAACAATAATGCCATGTTGCTTGTTTTGATCGAGTTCTTCCTCCATGTTTGTTCCTCGAGATTGCAAATGGCGACGACGCTTCCGTTTCCAAGATAACAGGTGCCCGTTTTAAAATAATGCTGGTTTATTAAAAAGAAAAAATCATTTAAGAATTTTCTCTGCATTATAGCCATGAACAAATGATTTTAATGTTAAATTTATTTGAAATTTATTTAATATTAGCATAATGAGTAAAAAATTATTACCCAAGATGCACCGAATATCCAACATGGCAGCCTACATTGAAGTCAATCTGTCAAAATTTTAATATTCATTGATGTAAGGAGAGAACAATTAATATATTACATCTTTAGTATGTAAAATACAATTTAATTTGTTGTGTAATGAAAATATATATGTCTTTGGGTAAGAATTGTTTTAAATTTCCTTAATAAACCTTGAAATAGGCAAATTTATAAATCTATTTTTATCCTTCCTGGTTAAAAAATAAATCTAGGATGTGTTTTGATTTTGGAGTACTTTGTATCTGCAGGACCAAGTTATTAGCAGTCAAATGGCTGATTGGGGAGTATACAAATCTGGTAGTTTTTCACATATTTTTGCTCAGTAAATTGTAGTTCTGGCTTCCAAAACTTTATAAGCCGCTTTTTAACATCAATGTTTTTTATCTGATGCGGCATTAAAGTTTTGGATAAGACCCGTTGCAAAACCTAACCAGAATAACATAAGTTGATTTATTCTTGTTTTTCACTTGCAAATACACTTAACCCAATCAATTCTTGTGCATTTTACAATAAAAAAAAACATTTTAATATGATTCTATACCAATTAAAGTATCAAAATATTAATACCGTCATTAAAATTGCCTATTTCACTGTAAAATATCAACTTACGCCGACTACAGTTGGCCATGACATTCAGGTGCCACGCGAGATCTCGTATGACGTCATTCGCGGGAACAGATTTGAATAGAGTCGTGTACTATATTTAGAACATTTTGTTGACATTCATGATTTCGATACTTTTATTCAAGATAATGTTTTTATTTATTTTCATTAATTTTTTAGAACTTAAATACGATTGTATTGAATATAAAAGTCAGAAAATCACCTTTTTCAATATCTTTAAAAAAAGTAATTAATAAAAATATTGGAGGCACATGGGTTCGTAAAGGTCAATCTCGTAATCACGTGATCAAACATTTTGGCAAAATGGCGGCCAAGTGCCGAAAATTTTACCTGTCGGAAACTATTGGGTAGTTTATGTTCTTAATAAGAATTTTATTTGTCCATCCTTGGCTTATCAACAGATTATATATAGTTTTATCAAGGTATGCTTCACTTTACTTCATGGCATGTTCGATGAATAAATACGAGCGTGTCAGATTCCTGGCACGATTATTGTTTGACTTTCCCTATGGAGTTATCTTCAGCGTTCACGTCATGTCATAGTATATAAACGGGTACGCTGAAGACCTTAAGCTAAGTAAATTGTACAGTAGTTTTAATTTTAGGATGTAATGGAATGACGTGCCAACTTGGTGTCAACTGACAACATGGAAAATGTCAATCACAATTCCTATATTGTCAAGATTTCTAAAGACTCTGTAGCCTTTTATGCTCAAATTCTGTTTACATACACATGGATAATCTCACAAATATTTTCGAACCTGCATGATATTTTTCAATTTGTATAGTCTAATACTTCATTGTAATTGCATTGCTTAAATTGGTCAAAATTTCATTTTAGTTATACATTTTTAGTTAAACACTTAAACAATGAAAGTTTTCATGCAAATAGTTTAAATGGGTAGTAAAACGGAAACACATTTTACTCATTTCTGCAAAGTGTCCTGACATTGCGTTAAAAATTGTAGGTCTGGAATAGATTAATGGAACATTTCGTAACTTCAACCAAACATGTAAAAAAACATTTATCGCAAGATGATGTAGGCCTAATGTTTCCAATGGTCTATGTCTGGCCCATTAAATGTGCTTTTGCTAGAATATGTTGATGTTTCCTTGTGTCGTTTAGTAAAAAAAAAATGTTTTGTTAATTAAATGTTTCTTTTCCTTTGAAACATTAGTAGAACATACTAAGTCTTGTTTATATAATTAATTGTTTATTTTCCTTCATGTTTCAAAGCATTAAGTACTGCAAACTAAGAGTCCTGAGCACAATATATCTAGTGACTGCTGTTAGGAAAATATCTAAGGATTTTTTTTACAACATATTTCCAGTTTCCATGAACACCAGAAATTTAAACAAGTAGTTCTAAAAGAGTTTTAACTCAAGCAAGTTATTGATATAATGATTCTAAATCTAGGAACACCAGAACACTATAAATTACTGATTGTTAAGCTATCTTTAAAACCATCAAATTAAATGATTGACCAATATTTTTTTCTCATTCCAGGTTGCTTGACTTCAAATGGATTAATACAGATAATCTAGTGCTGGTTGATATTGGATATGTAACATATGATAGTTAGTAGCTGGATAGTTACTCTCTATTTAAAAAACTTATTTTATAATGCATCATTTTGTCGGTGTGTTAGCAATGTAAAAACATTTGTTCATAAAATGGGTAGCTGTGTTTGTAAGGAAAAGACAACTGCTCATGGAGATACTCCTACTCAAGGGAGAAATCACAGTAGGCCTCAGAATGATACTCGGTTAGGTGTTTTCCATCCAAGCTCTGCACATTCAGATGCTGAGAGTTCAACATCATCTGGTTACCATGGCAGTCAAGTTTTGATGTCAAGGACAGTTTCAAAGAAAACTGTACGCTCACTCGTCCTGGAAACACTGTCTGTAATTAGAACATTAATTGACAAGTAAGTGGAGTCATCAACGACATCAAACTTGAACTTTCACATGTAAATAATCAAATGTAATAAACAAGAGAATTCCTTTTTAGTGTAATGTAATTTTCTTACATAGATATTTAATTTTTGTCATTTTTCTTATCTTGTAAAAAAACAGAAGTTTGTTAGGTATTTTAGACCATTATTAGTTCTTTCGAGGTAGAGAAGTCAAAATTGGTGAAATCTAAATGAGTAATTAGAAGATGGAATAGCTTGTCATAGATTATAATCATGAATGTGTTTTATTTTATTTTAGTGAGACAGAGCCACCACAGGCTATGATACAGCTTCACAAGATCGCTGAGACAGAGACAGGTTGGCTTGATGTCGCCAAATCTTTGATACAAGCCATACCAATGAAAGATCCTTTAGGTCCTGCTGTGATAACTCTCCTCTTAGATGAGTGTCCTTTACCAACTAGGGTATGAAAACTGTTTAAGATTGACTGTCTTATGTGCATGATAAAAAGGGATATTTAATATAAGGCAAATCTTTCTGTTTTTATTTTTGTCAGAACACAAGAGATGTATTTTGAAATTCAACAAAAAAAGTACGTAAACAATTTGTGACATACATGTAATCTTGATTTATATACTTCACCACCAAGTCTCAATATATAACAAGGAACTTTTACATTTTTATAAATTATTTGTTCATTTTCATCAAAAACAACTGAAGGCCAATTGATAATGATAAGTCCCTTTAACATATGCACAGTTGTTTCAGCTAGGTATTAAAAAAATTGATTGTTAAACGTGTTTCTTCTTATTTTGAAAGCAAAGTTTATCAGTAATGTTCTGTCATCTTTTCATTCAGGAGGCGATTATTGAGTTGAGGAAGAATCTCTGTTTGTCAAAGAATGGTCCAGCTGCTGCGTACAAAGAATGCTGTTGTCAGAGAAATCTTTGTGTACTGCTAGGTTGCTTAGCTGAAAAATTAGCAGGTATTCATTGTTAATTTTAGCTTGACTATTAGTAGAATTAGGAGAGCTTTTGTACTCACCAAGGCGTCAGTGTTGGCGTCACAGTTTTTCACTGTTTGTATACCATTTTCACTTTATAGGAAGATAATTTTATTTTGTTCATCTCTACAGCCATAGCTTACTTGTTCATTAAACTTGAAGGATAATTAATATGCAGAAACATTCCTGTGACATACACAATTAGTGTTTATATTCCTTCTAACTGTTTTCATGCGTTATGAACTTATTTATTAGTAGAACAATATTATGAATGAGTAAGATATTAATGATATTAATAATGATTTTAATTTTTAGGGCAGCCAACTTTAATATGAAATATATTATATTTATTTCAAGAGAAAAAAATAAATGTTTAAAGGACAGTAATAGTATACATGTATGTCTTAAAATCTCTTGCTTTTTCTAATTTTATGCAAAACATTAAAGTAGTTGTAGGGAAAATTGCATATAATATTTTAGAAATTTATGATTATGTTTGTATTGAATTGTCTCCCTTTTATCTATTTTAGGTCCAAACAGTATCACCTTATTATCACCAGAAGTTTTAGAATATCTTATTAGTAATTTGGTAAGTATACATAAATACATAAATGTATGAAGAATTACCTCCCTTGAGTGGAAAAAATTACCAATATAATTATATATGTTAATTTTTGCAAACCATTGCTAAGGAACATTAACTATTCATTTTCTTCCTTTTCTCTCCTTAAAAGTTTTTAGCATAAAATACAAAACATGAGTAGCCAGCTAAATATTTGGAGGCTGATCTGGCTCAGTGCTGGTGGCAAAAGGAGTTCACTTTTATTGCCAGTATTGCCAGAAAAATAGCATTTTAGTAAAAAAATTTAAAAAGAGTTGGTGCAAAAACTACACTGGAAAAGTTCAAAAATTAAAGTGGAAAAGATTAACACAATGTATGAAAACTTGACAGTATGTTATACTTGTCATTTATAACAATATGAATTCAGGTATGGTAAATTTTTTTTGCTTTTGTATTTCAGACCATGACTCATCCATCAGTTATTGTTTTACATTCCATTGTGGCATTAGAAAAGTTTGCACAAACCAGTAAGTATTGTTAAAATGTGATGTTTTGAGGATAAAATTAATAAAACTATTTAATTACATGTATTGAATTTAAATGAATGTATCTCTTTTCTTTTTAAATGCAAATTTGTGGATTAGAAAAGTTTTCACAAGTTGAAATACAGCTGTATCTCATCTTTGTTGATGATAGTGTTGTGTTATTGTATCATATCCTGACATTTCTTGTATAATGGACATGCTTTTAAATTGCCCATTGCTGTATATCAAAAAACTTTACAATAATAGTTAAAAATACACCACAGTGATAAGTATAAACTCGAATTACTTTTGTTTGAGCATGCTGACAGCATCTTGTTTACGTATGTCTTTTTTTGCCTTCAATGAAACAGACAAAAGTTATTAACAGTAAATAAAACATGTATATGGCTGTTCTTTTTATCCCCCGCCGATGGAATCAGGAGGGGGATATAGTTTTGGCGTTGTCCTTCCGTCCGTCCATCCGTTTGTCTGAATTTCGTTTTCGGAGTAGTTCTCTGCAACTATTGGCTGGAATTCAACAAAACTTAATGGGAATCATCAATATCAAGAGGAGATGCGCATTTCGTCAGCTTGTTCGGTCTGACCCTTTAACTCAGAGTTATGGCCCTTGATTAGTTATGTAGTAAGCATATAGAGTAAAAATGGTTTCCAGAGTAGTTCTCTTCAACTACTGGCTGGAATTCAAGGAAACTTTATGGGAATCATCAATCTCAAGATGAGATTCGCATATCGTCCGCTTGTCCCGGTCAGACATTTTAACTCAGAGTTATGGCCCTTGATTAGTTATGTAGTATGCATATAGAGTAAAAATCGTTTCCGCACTACTTCTCTGCAACTACTGGCTGGAATTCAATGAAACTTTATGGGAACCTTCAATACCAAGAGGAGATGCGCATATCGTCGGCTTGTTTGGGTCAGACACTTTACCTCAGAGTTATGGCCCTTGATTAGTTATGCAGTATTCATATAGAAAAATATTTGTTTCCTCGCTACTTCTCTGCTATTACTGGCTGGAATTCAATGAAACTTTATGGGATACTAAGAGGAGATGTGCACAAAGTTGCCTTGTTCCAGTCAGATACTTATAACTCAGATTTATGGCCCTTGATTAGTTATGTAGTATGCATACATCTCATTGGCATTTCCAGATTTTACTATTTAACACAAAGTTATGGCTCTGTTATTGCCCTGAATATTTATCAAGTTAAAAGAAAATTACTGTTTATGCCATGATTGATATATAAATAAAGCCTTATGTCTTCAGTTGTTGTGTTATTAATAACCAGTACTCGGCGGGGGATATAAATTCAACAAATTTGCTTGTTGTGATTGTTTTTATCTTAACCTATTCATATAATAAAAGGATTATTGACAAGTTAGCCATTAAAATTGGTTCAATATTCATCGGCTGAAAATCATATTGACCTTGGCTATTGCCTTGGTCAATATGACATTTACCGTTCAACAATAAAACTGATACATATATATATCTATTTTTGCAGGTGAAAATAAAGTAACCGTGATGAAAACCTTATTGTCATTAAAACCCAATCCTTTACAAACACTAGAGACATTATGGCACGATTCTGACCATCTGAAGAGAGAAGTTGGCTTCTGTGCTCGCTGGTGTCTAGATAACCTTTGTAAGTCTTAATTTTGATTTGATGTTTTAGTTTATACAAATTTATTTTAGTTCCATTGTGGAGGAAGCTATAAGGTTATTGAAACTCTATCGAATCTGTTCCTGGAACTAACCAGTACTTATCAATGAATGTAGTTTCTTCCTGACAGAAACAATGGCTTGCCACTGACAGGGTTTGAATCCATCCGGCTAGCAATTCTTAGAATAATAGACCAATGTGTTAACACTTCTGCAATGCTGCCACTATTTTTAGTGAATTTTGATTTGATCTTTTAGACAGTATTGGTAGCTGCAAATCATACTATTTTGAAGTTATTTAATCTGATTGTTATACTTTTGTTAAACATAAAGTAATGTCTTTCGGATTTTGTGAGTTTGTATTTGTCAGAGTAATTGAATTTTTACATGTGTGGAAGCTATTGCACTAGCTTTCAGAAGGTGGGCGGTTCTACTAGGGTGTCTACTGGTACTTGAAAAATGCATGAAGGGGCATGTACAGTCTTGTTTGGAAGTCACACTATGACCTTAACATACATGTATGTATTCTATGCTTAATGAGGGTCCATCCACCCTTTCAGGCACTGAGAGTATGGACCCCGGACATGTCACTATTCATGTCCTTAAAAGATTATTTAACAGTGTTAGTTTGACTTAAAAAACCAAGCATATTAAAACTTTGAAGCAAATGTTTTTGACAATATTAGTGACTTGTCAACTTGACCAATGAATAGTTAGGTAATTTGCTTACCAGTGAAAGGTTAAGCTGTCAATAAAATTACTAAAAAGTTGGTGAGGGGTTTTGCTGAATTTTGGTACTTTTGCTCACAGGTTGAGCAATTATGAATCATGATTATCATTAGTGGAACTCTGCATGGACAAGCAGTTTGATCTATCTTGGACTAATTTTTCCAATCAAGATTCTATAATCTGATTTGTCATTGAACATATAAATAGTTCCTGAATATGTCATTATCTCCCTTGACAAAATAGGCAACCATTTTAGACCTTGTTAATCAAGATATGTAAAGCTGAAGAATAACGTGAATAAATAAAATTAAAAAAAAACAACAAAACACTTTAAAAACAAAACTCATGAAAGATCCTGTATGGGAGACCATGCAAAACCCCAAATATATAATAGTTGTAGGCTTTTTATTATTCAGTTAAACTTCTTTAAAATGAAGTTTTTGTTTACAGGGAACATGATTTGACTTCTCTTAAAATATTTTCTTGTCTATTTCAGTTACTTCAGAGGTAAGAATATTCCTGCCATTCAAAACAACTTGAAGTTTGTAAATTGGTGACTGACTTAAGATGCATTTAAGGCTCATTGTGTACAAATGATACTATAATTCATATTTCCTTAAAAGCATTTATTTTTGGTGTTTATATTACTTATAGGCTATATACCTGAACCATGTTTTACTTTTCAACCAGAGGTAACTTTAAAGTGATTAAGTGTTTTGTACGGAAGATTAAATGCCACTTTGTTTACATATATGACAAATTATTTCACGTTCAATACATTTTTTATTTCCACACGAGTAGCATTTAACATGTACTAAATGCTGTTATGCATTATTAAAACATTTTATTATTCAGTTTGCCTTTCAATCAGAGGTAAAATCTTTTTCATTTCTTTTTAAACTCAATTTTGTGATCTTGTAGGGCAGAGCATATTCTTATGAAAGTGAAGATCTGAGTAAAATCAACGTGATGTTAAATTGTAATGATGTCAGTGAATATTTGAAGATTTCACCTGATGGCCTTGAGGTGAGTAATATTCATGTTCCTATATGACTTTCAAATCTCTAACCATTAATCTGCTGAATTTCTTAAAAAGATCTGTCCCTGTCCCATTTTTGCAACTATTGAACCTCTTGCCCATCTCAGCTGTGGGTTAGAATCCCTCCAAGGACTTTGAATCCTTTTATGTGAGGAAGATTTCCAGCCTGCATGCAAAACGTCAGTGGTTGTACTTAATTGTGCGCTCTTGCCTGAAATAATGCTAGAGAGTGGCACTTTAAGCCTTCCTCAACCAGTGAAGCAGGGGAGTTACAAGAACCATGTGACTTAAAATGTGTAGGGTGTTGGGTTTATTATGTCTTTAAGTCTGTTAAAATATTTAGACTAACAGAATTTTGTGGATGTAGGTCAGAAGTGGAAAGCAAACAATATGTTATTATTAGGCCAAGGATTTTTTTCATTTCACAATTATACATTATAATTGTTAAAAATATGAATAAAGAATGCCTACTGTGTATGATTATTACATATAGATAGATCTTATACATTTCTTATAAAGGCGAGATGTGACGCCTCATCATTTGAAAGTGTGCGATGTACATTCCAAGTGGATTCTGGGGTGTGGTATTATGAGGTTACTATAGTTACAGCAGGAGTTATGCAGATTGGCTGGGCGACCAAAGATAGCAGCTTTCTTAATCATGTAAGTAGGTCATAGTGGACCAATAGTCACTGTATTTTTATTCAGACCATTCTGAATGTGGCAAGTATTTGCAAATTTTGGAAAATGTAACTATTCATACATATACATGTCGCCCCAAGTGAAAAAAACTGGTTCCTCATAGATTAATTCATCCATACCTAGAATGGTTTGTGTATTAAAAAAAAAAATCTGAAATTTGCAGTTAAATTTCACTATAATTTGCCCCTTACTTTTATCCATTTTATAAATAGTTAAAAAAAATTGTGATATTCTATAATATGCTATGATATAAACTGGCATAAATGGTTAATTATTTACCATAAATGATTTGATATTTCAGGAAGGGTATGGTATAGGTGATGATGAATTTTCTATAGCATACGATGGCTGTAGACAAAGAATATGGTATGGTGCCCACAGTCAACCACATAAACACCAATGCTGGAAACCAGGTGAAGTATTCTTATCTTAGTATTCTATAACTTTAAAGCTCTGAGTGCTGGCATGGGTTGTGCAGTACAAATCTCTTGAGTACTGGCATGGGTCATGCAGTACAAATCTCTTGAGTGCTGGCATGGGTCATGCAGTACAAATCTCTTGAGTGCTGGCATGGGTCATGCAGTACAAATCTCTTGAGTGCTGGCATGGGTCATGCAGTACAAATCTCTTGAGTGCTGGCATGGGTCATGCAGTACAAATCTCTTGAGTGCTGGCATGGGTCATGCAGTACAAATCTCTTGAGTGCTGGCATGGGTCATGCAGTACAAATCTCTTGAGTGCTGGCATGGGTTGTGCAGTACTTTTGAGTGCTTGCATGAGCTGTGCAATACTCCTCCATGGATTTTGGGTTAACATACATTTTATATTTATATACACCTCAAATTATAAGAATTCACCATTATCAACTGTATAGAGAGGTGTACCAGTGTCAATCAAGTGACCTGAAGGATCAAAGGTGATATAATCCCATTAAATAGAGATTATCCAATATTACAGCTAGATTTTTGGCATTGTTTTATTATGAAAAAGGAACTTGGCCTACATTTTCAACTTTTACAGGTCATTGGAATTTATTTAGGCCTTAGCACTTGTGATAGGTAGTGCATAATTTAATTAAAGGTCTGCCAATGAAAAAAAATATATAAAAAATAACAAAAAAAAATATGTTGGAACTATATTAGAAATAAGCTTGTAGCTTGCAGTCTTCCTGCTTAGTTCAATCTCAAGAGCATCAGAATTATAATACATGTACATAGGTGGCTGGTTTGATCCTCGGGCAGACCGACATTTCTCCATGACAGTTGAGCCAGGACTTAGTGTCTTGTAGTGATTTGTGTCACCCCTTATTCAGAAAATTATTTGGGGTTGGTTGCCTGTCACTTGTGGAGAAATTGGTGATTACAGGCAAGTTATTCAGGAAGCTGGTAAGATGGATTAACTGCAGAGATATGACCAAAAAAAATGTGTTAAAATTCGTTTGAAAAAATCCCAAAGAAAAAAACTTGTAGTTTGCATTTTTGTTTCAAAGAATTTGCTTGTAATTATTACAGCTTGTCCCTACAATAATGATTCTTTATTCCGTACCTTAGCCTTTAATTATGAACAATTTTTTTTTATCACCTTTGATTTATTGCTTTAAATTATTTGACATGGTAGGACTGGAAATATTTTCCCAAGATTTGTGTACCAATTGAAGAAGGCTTGGACCAATACCCTGTGTGAAAATTTTCAGGTTGTTCTCCAGGCGTTTTCCCAGAATAACTATTTGATATTTCTGTTGTGTAAAACGACCCTAGAATAAAAAGCGTTGCAACGCTTTTCACTTAAATCTGGCTAAGAATTGCACAAAACTGATTTCAATTTTTTCTTTGTATATTTCTTTGATTTCCATTGCAAGGATTATTTATAATACAAAAAAAACCCTAATCTTACTAATTATATAAGAAAAATATTGTGTACAGTAGACAATAGAAAACAGTGTAACTGTATTACCCCACTACTATATGGAACAGTTTCATTAAAAAAAAAAACTATGGTAAAGACTTAGTATCATTGATATAGACCTATGTTTTGTAACATGAAATTTATGTGTGAATTATATATACCTAAGGATATTAATTGCAGCAATATTACTATATAGAATCAGTTACAAATATATAAACATTTTGAGGCGCCTCATGACAAAACCAACATAATAATTTTGCGACCAGCATGGACCCAGACCAGCCTGCACATCCGCACAGTCTGATCAGGATCCATGCTGTTTCCATATCAGTTTCTCATCTTGTAAAAGGGTTTGTAAGTGAACCGCCTGGATCCTGATCAGACTGCATGGATGCGCAGGCTGGTCTGGATCCATGCTGGTCGCAAACGCATTATGTTGGTTTTGTCGAGGCACGGCTCTTTTGGTTTTAACATATTTTTACCCAATACATGTAGAATGTTATAATGTACATACTTGTTATCAACAAAAAAATATTTTTACATAATGGAAAAGGATGAGAATGAAAGATGAGTCTTGAAATTCTTCTCCTTAAATCTCCTTTATGTACCATTTCATGTGAGCGTCGTGTAATTAAGTAAGCTTAAATGTTTGAATTTAATTTTATTTTTTTGCTAAATATCCTGGATACAGGGGTATATACTATACTATACTCATGTATCAGCAGCTACATGCCTGATTTGAATAGTCTGACAATTTTGTGATTAGAAGTTAAGGTAAAAGAGCTCAGACATAATATCATTATAGAGACTTCTGTCATAGTGTCATTGTAGTTTAAATCATAATCCTATTGAAACAGAATTAACATTTAAACTTTTGAACAGTATCAACTTACAGCCTTGAAAACAAGTACTTTTAAATCTCTTTTACCTATTAGTAGCCTAGTAGGTGACAAAGTTAACTGTGGGTTCAGTTTTCTCCAAAACAAAAATTCTGCATGCAGTTCTTACTTTTCATAATCTAGATTTAAATTTTAATAAAATGTAGTGTTCGCCAAGGGATCAAAAACAAAAATTACACATCAAAGTTGTTTACCATATACAATTTAATGTTCACCATTAACAAAAGGTTAGTTTTAACTTTGTGGTAAATGTGTTTACTAATCAACCATTGGCTCAAAGGTTTGAGCTTATTGGTTGGAGGATTTGTTGGCACATAAAAAAGATACCAGTACTGGATACTAAGGTCTATGAAACTGATTAGAGTTGGTTTAGACTTCCATCATATGAGCAGAAAGGAAAAAGATGATTTTCCACCATGGATATAGACTGGTCAGCTTGCCAAATGTTTTTCTAATTTTGAACCAAATTTTTTTAACTACAGTCAGAAATCTTTATCCTCCTGGTTAAGGTCACTGATTTCAAATTACTCTGACATTACTGCTGTGAAATTGAATCTCTTGAGTGGCGGCGTGGCCGAGTGGTTAACGCGTCGGACTAGTTATCTAAGGATTGCTTACCGCGTGGGTTCAAACCCTGTCAGGGGCAAGCCGTTGTTTCCTTGAGCAAGAAACTTTACATTCATTGCTTAGTACTGGTTGGTTCCAGGAACGGATTCGAGAGTGTTTCAATAAGCTTATAGCTTCCAACACAATCGAACTAAAATAAATTTGTATAAACCAATCTCTTCAGTAAATTAAACTTAATTTGGGTTCCTTCGTTGATCTACTATTGGTGCCTGCTTACGCCTGAAATAATTCATGGAAGAGTGGCACATGAGCTCTTCCTTCACCAGTAAAGAAGTAAATTTACCATGTAACTTTAAACCCAACTAAAAACAGATGCTGATCATGGTCTGCACAGGTTACATAGGTAAAATCAATTGCCACAAGCAGGTTAAGGTTACAATGAACCATGATTTGTCAGATAGTGAACAATTTTCTGATTCCTTACATCCTTGTAGAAATAAAATATCTACTCAAAGCTGGTAGAGACAGTGTGCTGGTTCTGAAATCCCTTTTAGTTTTAACTGTTCCAAATTCAATGCAGGGAAAGTCCATTTAAGTGACTTAGAATCATATTTACCCAGTTATAAGACACATTTTTGGTCATCTTAATTTGATTTCAAACTAAGGAGTGTGTCTTACAAGGGAGATCTTATTTATAAAGGGTAACTGAAGAAATTCTGGATCTGATTTATTTTGAGACTGTATATGGGCATTACCTTTCATTGGCAATCATTGATGGCATACAATCACTGAAATTTTCAGAAAGTCCACACAATTCCTTGTATTAGGATGTCATGAGAACAAAAACACAATTGAATTAAATCTCTTTTTCATCCAAAAAAATACAGAAATACAGATAAAATTTGCATAGCATAAAAACCATATTTTCTAGTGCACAATAAATCTTATTTCTGTATTGCACATACTTGTTATTATAAAGATATTTTGTCAAATGCTCTTTTTAACCATTTTGCTGTCAACAAAATGGGTAATAACTGTTCCACTGACAGCAGCCTCTATCTGCCTGTAATATACATTGTATTAAGTGATATATCAGTCATTAGGAGTATATCAGTCATAAGAATATACAAAGATTTTTCTGATTTATAAAATATGAGGGAGGCATTTTTATCATAATTTTGGTTTAGTGTTAACTTTGTTCATTTCTACCAATTGAATAGCTAACAGTGCAGACCATGATCAGATTGCACCAATGTTCTGATCTTGGCCTAGGTTGGTAGTATGGGTAAATTTGGTCGTGCAGGATATATTTTATCATTTTAAGTTATCACATCTCATACAATATCATGAGACAGTTCCAAATTCAAAGCTGGACAATTTTTATGATAAAACTTTCAGGGATATAAAGATTAAAAAAGAAACAGTTGTAATTAACATTCCATCTCGTTGTGATCTAGTGCGAGCAAGAAATCAGATCTCTTCTTTTACAGTCTTACAATCTCCCAGAGAGTGTGAAAAAGTCAGACAGTTTGATTTTTCATCAAGTTTGAAATGTTTTGCAATAAACAGTCACCAGTTTCTTAAAATAACCAAGAATGTCTATTTGCGTTATTCAGATAATTTTCTGTAAGAATGGAATATCTATAAATAGCATAGATCTGAAAAGAGTCATGGAGCGTGTGGAGCATATCTTGTGATGTCTCAGTAAACATTGAGATCTCATTAGATGATACTGATTCTTTATTCAGTCTTTGTTCAATAAGCATCTATGAACTAATGATTTTTGTGTCTAAAAATAGATTGTGATATATCAGATTTGCAACACATTGTTTAAATTTTCAATTAAAAACTTTCTGTTAAATAAATATCTATAACTGATGATTTTTGTGTTCAATAAATAGATTTCTGTACAGCATATTGCAATATATTGCTTTTCAATAAAAACATTTTTTGTGATTGTTTCAGATATTGAAAGCTAAAGGAACAAGAGCATATCAATTGAAATTAATAAAAAATCATGTTTTTCATTGAAATATTACATGCTGTGTTAGTTAAAGAAAAGAGTTGTCCTGGTGATTTATATATGTGGCTCTCAAACCATGGTTGTAGGTTTGAAACCTCATAATGGTCTTGACGATATTTCTTCATAGGTCACCAGTAATGGTTTAAGTTTGCAGGTGCAAACTTTAAAGTAATTAATAGAAGTTGCAAGAATTTATTTCACAATATGTGTTGTAAATATTTAAAATATTATAAAGTAATCAAATAAACTATTGATAGTCACATGACAAGCACGCAGTCACATGAAGTTTATGTTAATAGGAATCCAGTTTAACATTTGTACCACATAATGCTTGTTGTCTATTCCCTTTACAACACTTGGAATACAATCCTAATTCATATGTTTTCAGTTTTGAACTTCAAGCTGCATTCTTTTTAAGTATGTCCAACAACAATTTTAAGCACATTAAAATGTTTTCTCTCGAAACATGAAAATAATCAAACATTTCACTGGTCTGATTATTTAAATTTCTAATTTGAATCACTGTTTAAAAAAATTACTAAAAGTGTTAACGTTATTCAAGATGGTTGCTCCATTTCTTGAGCTTGGGTACCCCAAGCCCGTGTTGGGTAGTGTTGTACTCCAGATTCTTCCGTAAATGGCACGCCACCATCGAGATTATTTTCCTGCTGTTGCAATTTGTCTATTTCTTGCTGTTCATAACGTGTTCGTTGTCTCATTAATTCTTCAACAACTCTACGCATTTTAAATGTTGGCGTGTGACGTAGTGCTCTACTTGCAGCGTTTATTGGAATGTTTGTTTTCTGATCAGCGTGTACGAGAATTCCCGTCAGTTGCTGAAGTAATAGATCATTGGCAGTATACTTCCGTTTTTTAACATTCCCATTTTGAATATTAGTTTTGATAAGTTTCCAAAAATCCTTTGGATTTTTCGGGGTTGCATCATCTTCTTCTATAGGCTTTTCTATTTCGACCTTTGTAACTTTCTCAACTTTTTCTACTTTCTTTTCTTGTCTTGGCGGAGCAAAACCCCATGTCTTAGAGCGATCAAGTGGTTTGGAAAATACACTCAAAAGAATAGCCGCTTTTGAGAGTGTTTCCTTTTTCGCTTTATCTTCTTCCGTTTCCTTTGGCTCTTCTTTTTCTTCCTTTTTCTTATCTGCTTGTTCATCTTTCTTCATTGTTCCTAAGAATGAATCAATTTTGTCTTTTATTTGCTTTTGTTCTTTAAGTAACATTTCCTCTGTGACTTTTGGTTTAGCTTGTGGAGCTCGAAATTGGATCGGAATTTCACCACTCATTCTTGTGGTGGAGGTGTGAGCTGTAGAGATTCCACTTATAGCACTTTTAGCATCTCCACTTTGCGATTTATTTCCAAAGAATAAAGCTCTTAAGTCTACTTTTTCAGAGTAAAGATAGTCGTCATCATCGTCACTGTCCCATCCTTCACTGTACGAGCGTGTAACACGTGGCATCCATGTTTTAGATCGATACAGTTTCTCCGGAGTTGATTGTCTGAAAGGCTGAGATCTAGTTACGTTAAACTTAACATGTGACTTAGGTTGACGCGGAGTCACATTGCTCACACTAGGAGTACGTATGTTAGGGAGCTTGGCATCTGTCTCGTCAATGGCACTGAGGCGTGAATGTGAACGTTGAGGATCAGAGACAGATAGTTTAGGAGGCGGGGCAGATTTCGATCCATATCTCATTTTTCTTTGATCTTTAGATGAAGGTTCGGGAGAAAGGATTTCCATTGTGGTCGAAACAGTGTGTGCAGTAGTGGCTCTCTCTAATGTTATTGCTGTTTGCGCTCTTTCAGATTCATTTTGTTCATTTTTCTTTCTTATAGAGTAATCAGCCATTGTCTTTCTTGCTTTTTTAATTAAAGGTTTTGCATTGTGATCTTTCAGTATATTTCCTCTCAACGGATACTGTAGTTTTCTATCAAGGTAAAATGACTCCTCAGAAGTGATTCCCAATCTTTTGGCACTTGTTGATATTTGACGATTGTCATAAGAAAAGTCCTTTTTAGGATTAATTCGTTTTTGTAATGCTAAGTCATTCTTTCTTCTGTCTATATCCATGATTTTAACTTGATAACGCAGATTACTTGTGTCCATATGTAAGTTTCTCATAGAGTGTGTACGCTGTTTTTCAAGGTGATTAGTTGCTGTACGTAAATTGTGTTCGCATACATTATTGCGTACAGCCGTCAGACGTTCTGTAAGGGAAGATTTCTTGGCACTGTCTAATGCCTCTGACTGGAGATCTTGGTATGGGTTAGAAATAACCTGCTCTGTATCCATAATAAAATAGTTTCCTGAAATGAATGAAGAATATAATTTAGAAGTCAGTCTGGTTTTGTTTAGTAAGGGTCAGTGGCATATGCAATTGATAATCATTGTCATGATTATGTATGTGATGGCTATGATGATAATCATTAGATGATGATGATGATGATGATTAATAGATGATGATGATTATGATGATGATGATAGGTGGCGATGATGATGATGATTAATGTTCATTTTAGTGTTAAATGAAGACACATTCTGTTCAGTCGAAATAGGACCCAAAAACTTCCTTTATAAAAGAGTTTTTACAGCCTTATGTCAATATTGATTTTTGATACAAAATATGAAGAAAATATAGGTTTATTAAAATATTGACATATTAACTTGGATATGAATTATCTGCCACATTAAATATTTTCATTTTGTTAAATTGACTCTTGATTTAGTAATAATATTTTGACTAGGAGTTTGATTTGCCATAATAGCGGAAGGTGGACAATGTGACATCTGATTAACTTCGTACAAGTCGCACTTGTGTGCCGTTTAATAGTCAAGTTACTTTTGTGCCATTTAATAGTTGAGTTACGCTAAATTTATTGTGACCCTGCTGTATTACAAATAACTATGTTTGTGTAATAATGGATGTAATATGTCCTTTATTTTCATAATCTGTGTATATATAAAAGAAATGTTTATTTGTATTTTGGTGCGTGTTTTTTTTATTTTGCGCGATGAAATTGGTAAATTTTGTATTTTTTGATAGCAACAAATTCCTAAACATTACGACAATAATTATATTGTCTGATGTGTAATTTTAAATGCTTGAATAGATATTTGATAGTTCCCATTTGCGAAAAAATATTTACATGTGCATTTTTTGATTTTTGATAAGAAAAAAAAAGTTTTTAAGAACAAACATCAGTGGAAGTAACATACATGTAATAATTGTTATTCTTTATATTCTGTTTTTCTCTAATTTTCAAAAAATGAAAAAAAATGTTCAAAGAAAAATTAGCTAAATTATTTCTTTGCCTTACCTTGTGCACATCGATTCACTTTTAGAGTGTTTGACTCTTTCACCATTCCTTGGTTTAGAATTGCAACAGTGCGCATTTTGATATCTTTATATTGTTATCCCAAGCAAATAGATCCTTTGTTTTATTTATATATCCTCTCTATATTAAGTAAGTCAATAAAATTATGATGCTACGAAAAGCTGTTCATTTTCCATTCTTATGACTTATATTTTATTTTTTTTGTCAGTTTTTTGAAAATTATGAGAATCCAATTTTTGTATAATCAAATTTATTTCAAAATAAGTGCTATGTCACATTTAGTATCATAATTTTTTATGACATGTCTATGAATTTTGCACAGAACATCAATGATTTTCCTTGCACTTTAGTCATCAAAACCATGATATCTTGTAGTGAAATTTATCTTTTAAATAACAAAAACTAAACAGAATTAGGTTAGATCCGCCATACTGGGAATGCGTTTTACAAATGTAGAACACTAATTCTGGAACTATTTCATACTCTACTCTTTTTATGTAAGCCGATTAACAAAACTTTCAATTACCACCCTCAATTGACGGTCACAAATCTGTCCTAATCCATTTAAGATTTAGGTCCCAGTGCCAAAACTGTTAAAATTTTTGTATGTCCAAAATTTGATGATTTTGAAAATTTCGTAAAAAATCTGTTACAAAAACCTTACCAAAGGCATAGGTTTGCAAACTAAGTCGCACCTTATGCCCAAATCTGTTGTTTGGAAATGAACTTAAATTGACAGACAGTGTAGAAAATTTTTGTCTGATTTCACACAAGCTTTGATGTAATATTACCTGATTGATAAGCCATTGTAAAATTTTTCAAAAAACTGAAATCGTTCTATTGTACTGAAACCTGTGGTGGTTACTACATCTTTATGAAATGTTACATTATATTATTTCTCTTATAAACACTAAACAAAGAATTACAATACGTAATACTGAAGTGGTATTAAGTACATTGAAAAAATTATTGCCAAATCTTATTTGAAAGTGGATTAATTTGAATTAAGGATTAATTATACAAAAGCTTAAACTGGTAATCATAGGTGCACATTTTGTTGCAAATTGATTGCAAGTGTTTAAATACAAGTGTTTTATATAACATTGTTAATACAAAACTGTTTATACATTAAACACAAGTACATATGGCCTTTATTGCAACGACATAAACTATAATATGATATTTTTATGTACTTATTTGAATAATTAGAAAAATTCCATATTATGGACCCTTGTGTTTTTAAGACAAATAATTAGAAAATTTCACTATAATTCCCTGTATTTTTAAGACAAATAATTAGAAAAATTCTGTATAACTCCCCGTGTTTTTAAGACAAATAATTTGCAAAATTCTATAAAACTCTTGTGTTTTTAAGACAAATAATTAGAAAAATTCCACATAACTCCCTGTTTTTTTAAGACAAATAATTAGAGAAATTCAATATAACTCCCTTATATTTTAAGACCAATAATTAGAAAAATTCCATATAGCTCCCTCACAGTGTTTTTAAGAAAAATTCTATATAGCTTCCTGTGTTCCTTGTATTAAAATCATTTGAAGATTTATGATAATAAAATCTCATTTAGGTTGATTTATAAATAAAAGTTAAATTTTCTTACCATCCTGTTTTGGTCCTGGGTTAAAAATTTCCTCATTAGTAGCCATATTGAATCAAAATTTATATTTTTATATAATTATTGACTTAATATTTGAAAAGGCAAACAATTATAACCACTTAAGACTTTAAGCATTCCAATAATTTTATTCAAATTTTATGTTGTTGTTTTTTTGTTTGCTTTTTTTTTCATCGGTAGCAATCATTGTACCAAGAGACACCCAACTGACAAGAGTCCACTTGAACAAATAGCTTAACCTATTTTTGTATCGAAATGCGTAAGAAAAATGATGGAAGTATCGGTGAATGGACTCACCTCGTATTCTTTACGTTTTTATCAATGACAACTCATTTATTTTTATCAGATCCATAACTGTCATTAGTTTCTTTGTTTTCTATAAGAAGTGGGCATATTGACAGGGGAATTAGGCGAGTACGCGAGGGAACTGGTGTTTGTTTTCAGAGACATTAAAGAGGGGGGGAATTATCTAAATAAACATTGAATAAGCAGGTGAATGCATTGATAATCGGACAAAATGACACTTTTGCTAATGCACTGAGATCTTTACGTTTTATTTATTCGAATGTTTGAGATGTTCCGTAAATGAGTGTGTATTTGAGACGTTAACAGTGTCGATACATTTAGAATTGCTAAGATATAATGAAAAAAATGTCTTGATATTGGGGAGAAGAAAGATAGAAATATTGGACTGTTTCAATAGGGGCTATGAAATATAATGGATTCAGAAGTAGAATTTATTCTTGCAAACTGCATTAGTATTAGTTTTGATAAAAGTTTTTTTCTGAAAATTAATGTTAGCTATTAATCCATGTATTATTTAACAATAACCTAAGTTCATATTCTTTTTGGTGTAAGAAAATATGTTAAGAAACAGAGTATTAAATTTGAAACAGCTATTTTAAGAGACTAATATGTTCAAAATAGAATAATTAAATTTCATAATGGTCTCGAATGGACATTAAAATGCATGATATTTTATTGAATTACCAATATTGGTTATATAATCACAGATCAACATATCGGTGATCGGAAATAAAAGAATATTAAGAAGTAGTGGTATTATGTATCCGTCTGATGTGTGTAGTTGTAACTGATGCAGTTTGATAATGTATTCTGATGACCTCAGCGGGCTTGAATTAAAATTTGTTTGTTTTCATATGGCGAAGTTTTAACCCTTACCAGCCGAAATATTTACAATGGACTTGTCCGTCGATCATTCTGGACATAACCATTCATCATTTTTAGGGAAATTTTTTTAAAAAATGCACTGACTGAATAGCAACCAGTGCAGACCATGATCAGAAGGTCATCTGATCTTGGACTGCACTGGTTGCATAGGTAGGATCAGTTGCTGACAGGCTAAAGGTTAATGTAAGAAAAAATGCTTTCTCTGTTAAATAGAATGGTTAATGGATAATATTATGGTAAATGAAATGTCTGGTTTCGAGTTTGTATCTGTTCAGAAGTAGTTTTAATCTTTATTTAATCGTTAACCAACTGAAACTGAAAGTGATAAGCAATTTCCACCAGTATAGATCCAGGCCAGACGGCATTTCTCAGCTGTTGCACTAGATCCTATACTTTTAGCCGACTTAACTTTAAATTTTTATCTTGAAAGCCCCTGCCAGATATCAGTTCAAATAAATGGAAGATGGAAAAGTCTTTTACATTGTATATGAAATTAAGAAGGTTCACCCTATACTTTACTGGTGGCAAAGGCTTTGTCACTTTCAGCTCAAGCAGGTCAAGTGTTAAAACAGAAAGATGTGGGTTCCTTATAGAAAATGTTCAGAAAGGTGTGGGCTCCTTAATGTATGTTAGCAAACAACAATTTTGTAAACTACAGGTAGCTATAATTTTAGCTTTACACACTTTCAAAGCTTGACAAGATATTCATGTTGGGTTATATGATATGAGCATACTATAACATGATTAAAAAAAAGACAATTTAGCGTTTGATCAATTTTTATATGCACCAGGTTTTCAAATGTTAAAGTGGAGTATAACTTTGATGAATTGATACGGATTAGCTATGAATTACCAGATATAAAATATGATTAATAAAATACCGAACAATGAAATTTGTCATGGCCTAGGTCTCGCCAAAATATGCCTAGGTCATTTTCTTTAGTTCTTATCATCGGTGATATCTGATTGTAATTTACGATAATAAGATTTTTAATTACCCAGCAAAATTATTCAGTTTTAATTCGCGGCAATGATTTATTTCTTAATGAATTGAGATAGTAATAAAAATCGTTCAGTTATTATTTATAATGAAACATAATTTTATTATCTGATTAAATTCTCTTAGATTAAGGAAAATAGTATTATCAAAATTTTATCGAATAGCAAAATAGTTACAAAGAGTTAGATCGGTTTTAGATAAGTTTCATTTAATTGAGTCGAAAGATAGATTAATTAAATCCAACAGGAATTAAAGTTTTACGAATGAAAATATGCCGAATTTAATGATTAATTTCAAATACTTTATTGTCTCCAACTAAAGTTAGTAATGAATGAAAGTTTTTTATGATTAAGTCTTGATGCATTTAAAATTTCTTATGCCATTGCTTTGTTAACCCGTAATATGTAACAGTTAATGAATTGCATTAAAACTGATTGTCAATGTTGAACCACTGACTTTCCCTTAACCCATTTGAGTGGTCAAGACATCAGATATAGCCTTTAGACCAGACTGCACAGCTGTGCTTTCTGACAAGACTCTATACTATTGACTTTTGAAAATTTACTCTTTTCATATGAAAATTCCTCAAACTTCTTATAGAATAAACAAAATTTAATGCAAGTGGAGTTCATTAGGAATGGGTTAATTAAGGGGATATTACAGTATATAAACAAAATCACTGTACCCTGTCTTGCGAGCCTATAGAATTAGATATGTACGCTGTCTTGAGAGTACAAGCACATGTTACTTTCCATCACTGTATCCTTTTTGAGAGCCTATATATTTTAACTTGTATCTTCTTGTGATTACATGAAGTAGACTGGTTTATATGCTTTGGATATGAACATTCTTTACAAACAATTTAGATTCAGCTTCATATTTCAAAACATGTAAATTTGTTGTCCTGGTTTAAATTTTAATATTCAACATTATTTTATCACAAATATTGATATTTCATGTCAAAATGTTGTTGTTGTTGATGATGCTGTTGCTGAATAATTAAGCAAAAGTATCTCAGCAACATAATTTTAAGGTGTTTAACCATATACCGGTAACTAAGAACAATCAATGCAATATTTTCTTACCCGCTTGTTCTATAGGGGACACAAAAGCCCCTACAGAAGAAATTTCCTCCGACATTATGCTTGTATTTTCCAAATCCTATTTGAAAGAAAAGTCTTTTATTGTAACTAAATTCCCACCTTTAAGTACTGCTCACTATTTATTTTGTGTATATAAATAATAATGAAAACAAAATCATTTTCCATTTTTCGGAAGCATTTTTTTCCCCTCCAGTTTTAATTACATGAATTTTGTTTCAACGTAGTTTAATTTCCTCTTTACGCTGAAACAGACGGTGTTAAATATGTTTGAATAAAAAGATATATAGCTACTATTTTCTTTAAAACAATATTGTATAAACTAATTAAAGACATTATCATTTATAATAGAGTGATATTTATATACCCAGGTGCGAAATCTGACAAAGTTTGAAATGCGGAACCAGTATAAGACGGTACAGGTTTAATTTAAAACTATGAATGAAAAAAAATTGAGCTATATATTTGATATGTCATGTCAAAGTAACAGTCAGAAAATGAATAAATTAATGATTAATGCTTTGGTACTTTGTAAAAGAGGAATGGTCCAATTTTTTAAATTGAAAGGGCTAGAAAAAAATCAGGGTTATGATTGGATAGAACATTCCTAACAGACTAATAAAAATCATATTTTATGTTATATGCAAAAAATCTGGTGTCTAGATTTTTCTGTTTCGAGATTTAAAGCTTATAGCATAATGTTTTTGTCAGAAACAAAATTTTTGTGCTTTGATGTTTCTGTAATAGACTAACAGGCTATCAAGATAAATATTTGAAATTGGCCAGCCAACAGTATCGTGCCTGGTCAGACTACACAGATGTGCATTGTGCAGTTTGGCCTGGCTCTATCTTTGTGGCAGGCGCTTATCAATTTTGGTTCGTAGCAAGATAAGGGTTTATCATGTGGTCTGCAT